AAAGTTTTCCGAGGATTTGCATTGTTGCGCGATTTCCGCCGTTCCGTTTTTTCCTCGCGAGGTTTCACAGTGTCCTTACCTCGCAGGATTTCCTTTCGAGCCTTTACCTCGTGGTCCTTGCGTCCGACTTTTCGTACCCAGGCTAACCAGTCCACGAAATCACTAGGTTCCTCAATCGCATTGGAGAGCCGTTGTTCCAGCGAGGAGTTTATTCCTGTTAGGATCATGGATCTCATGACAACTGGTCCAACTCGTGCGTCCCATTCTAGGTTCTGCATCTCGTTGATGTAGTCGTCGATTGGGCCAGTTTGCCGGAGTCTGTCCATCTTCTGCTTGGCCTGTTCCTGACTCGTGCGGTTGCCATATTGAGTGCGAAGTTCTTGCTTGAACCGTTCCCAGGTTCCGATGCTGCTATCCACAGCTAACCTCTCCGTAAAATTCCGCCAAAAGTTCGCCGCACTACCGGTAAACTCGAGGGATGCCCACATGATCTTAGTGCCGTTATCCCATTGGACCTTCTTCTGGAGACTGATTAGGATTTCCATCTGATCGATCCAGAGTCTTACGTCTTGATCGGCTCTTCCGGAGAAGGGAATGTTGGCCTTTTTGGGTGCATCACCTACGGTGGCGCGAGGGGGGTGCGAGAGTTCTTGCTCTCGTTGGCGCCTTCTTTCGTGTCTTCGTTTCTTACGTTCCAGCCGCTTGCGGCGTTCGCCTTCCGAATCTGAGGAATCCGATGGGGACGATCCTGGTGCTTCCGGGGCGTTACCTCCCTTATTGCCATTTCCGTTACCTCCACCTTGTGCTCCTTGACCCCCTTGCTTCCCTTGTTGGCTACTACGCTCAGGGTTGCTTTTTGGTGCTAGGTTTTGACCTTCGGGGTCCTCACTGGATTCGGAGCCAGCTGGAGGGACGACTGGTTGTTGGGGAGGTGGTTTGGGAGGTGGGCCTGATCCGCCGCCACCTGTCTCTGGGGCCAGTGGTTTTTCCGCAGCCGCTTTACGGACTGTTTCCTTCATCTGCTCCATCATTTCTTCTAGAGCCGTCCTTGTTCCAGAGAACCCATCTACCAAGGATACCTGCTGCTGCATGGTCCTCTCCAATTGTGCCAGTGTAGCTGCTACGCCGTCTGGGACTTGGGCTGGGCCATCTTTCGGCAGTCTTTGAATCCAGTCAGCCAGCATGGTTATGTGCTGGGCCTGCTCTTCCTGCCGCTGTTGGTGGGCCCTAGTAGTGGTGACGATCTGTTCCAAGACTTGACCGAGGTTCGTAGTAGTTGCGGCTGTCTCTGCCCGTACTTGCGCGAGGATGTACCCATCTCGGCGCTCCCGTTCTTCTTGGTCCTGGTTGAACTTCATCTGCAATTCGCGGATGAGTCTGGTCTGCTCTTCGTGCTGCTGGGTAAGCTGCGCCGTGTGCTGCCGAGTAATTTCCCTGATTGCGGGGAGGTCTTGGACGCTCACAGTGAGGTCTCCAAGTCCGCGGCTCAGCTGCTGGACCACTGGGGCTCCTCTGCGTTCGATTTCCTGCCCGATGATTTCTCCAAAGGGGTGCTCGATACGGCGTTCCTCTACGTCCATATCCGTATCCTCGTCCTCGTCCGTTACCCTGGGGACCGAGGGCCTCGGAATAGAAGACCTCTCTCTGATTGGCGTTTTGTACGGGGAATAGTCTCGATAGTCCCCTTGCCTGCGGGAGCGGGGTTGACCATAGGATGCGGCCGGCTGAGTCGATCTGAAGAGGTCGCTGATTGGCATATCCAGATCCCTCCTGTGGCGCTGTCTCGCCTGGGTCTCGACTATACCTCGATCTCTCACGGTGATCGAGCTCTCCATGTTGTAGTCTTCCTCCATTTGTTGCTGATGACCCCTTGACATCGCTAAGTTGCTCGATTCTGAGTTGTGGCTGTCTTCTACACCAGGGTTGAACGACGAACCAAGGGACGGAGTGAGCTAATCCGTGGGATTGCTGACTGAGGGTGACTTTAATGGGGAACAGCTCGGGATAGTTGAGGATCTCCGGGTCGTGTTCTTCGAACGTGCAAGTAGTACCTGCTTCGGCAAAAAATCCGGCGTACTCAAGGTATCCGCAATAGAGGTGTTCGGCACTGCCTCTGCGAACGACAAAAGAGGTGGTGCAAGTAAAGTTGTTGATAGCTGCTGTTGCTACTCGGGGATGCATACGGTATCAAAGAGTCCTCCTAATAGACTACTTTCTTATTCTTCTACTTGAGCGCACGGTGACTATCCGCCACAAACAAAATACTCTCAAGTATTGGTCTAAGCAAGTAGTTGTCTTATCGGGACGTTGATAATATGCGATCGATAAAATAATAGCGTAGTGGATAAGGTACAATATAGTGTTTGGGGAGATGCCAATGCTAAGCGATAATTCTGTAGCTTTTAAACTTATAATATTGTAGACCGGATTCCGCTCGCTGAGTGACTGATGATGCCACTAAGACGAGGCGGAACCCTTCCCTATTTATACATATTGGAACCTATGCCAAGGCCCGCTTTCTAATACTAATGAGATAACGATAATAGAATAAGACAATCAACCCGAAGATAACCCTAATAGAAAAGCGCCCCCGCATAGTTCCGTTCCTCCATTCTAATTCCGACACGTAACCATGAACCCCGCAATTGCCAGTAACCGAGCTGTATCATGCTATTGTCCTAGAGCTACTTCCCTAAGTAGAATGGCCTGCAGCCATAAGCCCCGCTTCTATTCCGTTCCTGGTGAGACACCCGATAGTAAACGTGCCCTCACAACAGCCTAATACTAGTGTGGTTGCACCCGGTGCCCCCACACCCCTCGGTACCTTTCTATGCTTGTTCCCTCGTTACCCGACCGTACTCACATCACAACCCATCACTCGTATTATCCTTGTTCCTTGACTTAGGAGCAGTGTTCGTATTTCCTGTAACAGACAGTTGAAATGGCTCCGTTACAGTATTGGGGTATCTACTAGCCTTTCTCTCACTCCCGTAAATGCTTGGCATGCCCGTAACAGAAGTCTACAATAAGCGAAAGCTCTACAGCAATGATTAAGCTTACACCTGAGCGGCAGCTCATTCATGTAGGCCCTCGGTTGTGTGGCAATCAAGGCTGCAGGTGTTACAAAGGTTTTGACTAAGGGTGGTTGCCTTGGGTATCGGAAACACCTGCTGACGCTTAGAGAAAAGTGGGGTAGCGGTGGTATTGTTTCCGGACCGAGGAAAGGCTTGACCGGGACTTAGTAAGGAAGTTAGGAGCAGAGAATAGAGGCCTTCGGAGTATAAGTACTCAGGTTCATTCTCGCCCTTCAGTCCTGTTCTTCTGAGTCTTCATCAGAAAGAAAAACCAAGTTTTTATCGGTAGCAGAGCCCTTAAAGATTATTGAGTTCTAGCGATAGTATCTTTGAATAATCTGCAACCTGATTGTTGATCTTGCATGGCCATCTCTATTCTATCCAATTCTATTTCTCTTAGAAAGGACCCCCGTTACAGCTTTGCCCGATCCTTTCTGATTGCTTCCAGCTGTCTCTCATATATCCACTGGTCCAAAAGCAGTACCTTCCGGTAGTTTGACGCTCTGGAGTTTATTATTGGGGTCGAAAACGTGTTTTTTAACTAAGAAAACCGCAACTCCGCATTTGGTCGTATATTGATCGCACCACACCTCGTAGGTGTGAACCAGAGTTGATAGTGATGTTCCCATTAGTATTAGAGGGTATTGGGGTTATCTACTAGCCTTTCTCTTACTCCCGTAAATGCTTGGCATGCCCGTAACAGGGTTCGAGAAGGTGCCCATTTTGGCCAATTTTGGTGTATTTTGCTTCAAGTTGGTAACTTATGTCATGGTACTATACATGTAATGAACCCTTGAGTTTATATTGAAGTATTTAGTAGGTATTGATCATTGCCTGTAGTGACATAATTCGCCACTGCCCAAAATTGATGGTTCAGCAAACCGTCAGTTATAAAATACATTCTAATCAACCGTTTTGCAGAAGAGCTACTAAGTTTTATATCAAAACCCATAACTTCTCATTCTTGCTGATTTCCAACTTCTATAGAAAACAACCGGACTCTGGAGGAATTTGAGCCATTGACATTGACAACAGTTGAATCAAGTTCAGAACAAGAATCGGGTGAGGAAAGCGAATGAGAAAACGCAGTTGAGAACGGGTTTTTTTATATTTATTTTTGTATGGACATTGTTAGTAATTAAAGTCACTATTTTCGGGGTGGAATCTTTTTTTCCACATTGCCGCTCGACAAAAAGCACACATACTCGTACTATAGGGAATGATTTCAATTTTCAATTTGTTTCTTAATTAATATTTTATTACTCTATTCTCTCTCATTTATTCGGCTTTTTTTCACTTCGTTCGTCGTGGTTGTTGGTTGTGTTGCCCCAATACATTATAATGGATGTAGATAGATCTGTTGCAAACCCTATCATGATACGCGTATATTTAGGTACCAGTTCAACTCATGAAGCCGTAATTAGTTATAGTGATTGAAGACAATATTCCTAGACGAAATCATATTATTCAATTTTTCTCTTTTTCCTTTTCATTTCTTGCTTCTTCCTTTATATTTAAAGCACGTTTCTATTGGTGCCTACCAGTTCTGGTTGTCTGAAACGAATGTCTGTGTAACATCAACATTCGTTCCTCGCATCCTCTCAAGGACGCAAACCTCCCCAGTCGTCATGTCAACTAGAAATGAGCTCCCACCACGGCGAGACAGTCACCAGTAAATCCCTCGTTCCCTCTCCCCTGCCTTATACGGGATTATGAAATAATTGAGATTGTAGTCCCCTGCGACTATTCGAGGCAGCGAAAGCGGTCAACCGACCATTATTTATACAAGCACCCATGGTCAGGTAACTCATTTAAACGCTTGATCAATCATTTTGATATAACTTTCGTTGATTCCTATGTAGATACAGTAAATTGCCCTTTCGTACATTGATTAGAGAATATGGAGTCGATCTTTGCTATACACCTATGGTTAGTTATCTTTCTACCTCTACGGGTTGATAATGTAAATTGAGACTGATAAGAACGTAGATACTTGCAAAGGAATTCGTGAGAAATCAATCTGCTCGTCTTAGTGGTACATGTTATCTTTCCAAAGTAACGGACACATTTTGACCTGACCCGAATGATTAGATTTCAGCACCAGCTCAGAAGACGGGCCACTTGTTGTCCAATTTGGAGCCCATACAGTTTTGGATTTTGCCAAAGCCGCAGAACTGGTACAGCCCTACTGTGATGGTGTGGATCTCAATTGTGGATGTCCACAAACGTGGGCCATTCAGGAGGGTATTGGATGTGGGCTCATGCGAAAGCCAGAGCTTGTAAGGGATATGATCTTGGCTGCAAAAGAGAGATGCGGGCCGCAATTTTGTGTTTCAGTAAAAATACGAATTCACTCTGATCTACAGCAAGTGCCCCCTCTTGATTTCCACCTTCACCTGCCCCCCATTTTTCGCCTTCAGTGGGTGCCGCCATACTCATAATCATTAGGGAGACTGTAAGATTCGTTGCCATAGTCGAATCTGGTGGCCCAGATTACATCACTGTTCATGGACGGCGGAGATCCCAAAGATCAAGTGAACCTGTAAATTTGGAAGCAATCAGACTCATCAAGTCCGTCGCGAAGGTTCCAATCGTTGCGAATGGTGATGTTTTCTGCTTGGATGATGTAGATAGGATTATCAAAGCAACTCGGGTCGATGGTATAACAAATTCCAGCTCGCCATATAATAATCCATGGATAAAGAGCTTACAATTGCTAGGCGTTATGGCCGCTCGTGGGTTAATGGAAAACCCTGCTCTCTTTGCTGGTTACTCGACGACACCCTGGGGCGCCGTCGAGAAGTTTCTTCATCTTAATATGACTCTTGGACCACTACCTCATCAACTTACAGTACACCATGTTGGGGAAATGATGCTCAAGATGTTAAACAAAAAAGAGAGGTCGAGCATGGTTGACAGCTCCTCAAACACTGTAGAGCTCTTGGACTGGTTAGATGAGAGATTCGTTTTGGCAAGGCCATCTGATGAAGGGTTTGGAAAGGGCGTTCATGCAGTGAGGATTGTCTAGTGAAAACATGTATCTATTCCTTTTATTCATGAACTCTCACTCGGTTTTTGAGGATGTTGTTCTCCCTTTTATATCCTTACTCTCTCAATACTACGCCCCATCTCATGCGGACACAACAAATCCGAGTGTAAGATTAGCCAGAGATTTCTCAATGGTACCAGCCACGATCTCGGCTTGCATACAGTGAGAGGCAGCATTTATTGACAGTGAAAGGGATAGCGGGGAACTCTATACCCTATATTCAGTCGATATCCCCTGAATTACCTCTCAAATGTGGGAATGTGGTAGGGAAATAACTACATACTCCCATGCCCATTTCTTCGCCATGATACAGCAGCACCATCATAGGGCGTGTGCCTTTATAGTCGGGGTAGGTCTATACCCACGAAGCATTCATCTACCCTCTGGCCAGAGACCCGATAGGAACGTCTTGCGCATGTAGATTAAGACATGGTTTATCACTCGAGGCCAGCTGAACATCAATCGTGTCGCGGAATGATGTTGTTAATTCATTTATTGCATGCAACATCGTGTCGCGGGATTAGTACAGCGAAAGCTTGCTATAACGATACCTTCTATAAGGGTAATCTCTCTATAACGGTAGCACTTCTCGGTCCTTTTTGCCCGGATTTCAGCACAATCACCTCTTATATAAGGGTAATCTCTCTATAACGGTACCAAATTCCGGTCCCGAGCGTACCGTTATAGCAAGCTTTCGCTGTATGTAGGTGGGTGTTTAAATGGACACAAGGGTCCCAAATGTTTGATCCGTATGCTTTGTTTAGACGCAAACTTGCTGTCAAATCTTTTTCAGCTTGATATCCCTAAAAGCTACTTAAGTTACAACCCATCCCGTATAAATGAAAATATTACAACGTAGGATGAAAATACAATGCACCACCCCTACCCTAATTTTTGTTAGTCCCAGTGATTTTTCCCACATACTACGAAACGAGGACGCGCTGTCCGGCCCAGTCCTCTAAGAAAAATAAGGAAAGAAAGTTAAGAAAGAAAATCGACTTGATATGCAAGAAAGAGCCTCCCAAAATGCCGTAGGTGCTAAAATGAAGAAAATCTACCCACAAGAGACGGCTAGAAAGGTAGAAGAAACGGATTCATGGAATGGGATATGAACCACAAATGAGAGACCTCCATATAAAGAGTGAACGCCGTATAAAGTGGCCTAAATATGATCCACCAACCAAAATACAACTGACAAAGGAATAATCCACCGTGATAACCACAAGAAAGCTGCCGAATAGCGGTTTGCTCAACTCTTTAGATATAAACCGAAACGACGGGGATTTAAGCTCGGTCATTAGTTTTATAGATACCCCCTAGAATTTTCGCGCAGAATCAACTCCGAGACTCGGCGTCTCTACATCCTTGTCACACTCTTTACCTTCCATTTTTCGTCTCTCAAAGAAATTTTCATATTCGACTACCACCAGTATCCATTCCGCTAAAGCACGCCCAGCATACGTCCACTGGCTTCCATAAGAGTGGCATCCGGACATATCGATTTCAAAGGACTTTTTCGAATTTGAATCAAGGAATGTTTGGGCTGGTGCTGGTAACCTGGGAAGTCCCAACTTCCGATCTCGGTTTCCATATGGAGGCCTCTCCATCCACTCTATTGAGAATTTGAAAGTCGTTTTCTTTTGTGGGACTGGTAGTTTCGGTGGTGTGGTTTCACGCTTAGGACTAACATTTGTGGATGTAAGGCTAGAGGTTCTTTTCCTAAAGGGTGGGGTCTCGGGTGAAGTTGGTTCAGGTGTAGATTCTGATTGAGTAGCTGCCGAACGAAAGCCAATGACATTTCGTATCTGGCTCCATCTCCTACTGAACGTGGATATGACTGTTTCCGTTGATTGCGTTGTTTCGGTCGATGTATCTGAAAGGACCGATTGTGCATCACTTATAGCAGATGACACCGAAGAAGTCGAGGAATTAGACCGCTTCGCCGGCTCCGGGTTTAAAATCGGGATAGCAGTCGGAATGATCCCATCAAGTAGCACACCCTGAGGAGTGGTCATGATATCATTGCGAAGGATAACAAGTCGACGACAAGGCGCCGGAAGACAAGGTGCAGTAGATGGCAATGCCCCGTTTTTCATTTCTGCCGTGTCTCTCAAACGCTGGTAATGAGCATAGCTTATTCTTAGTCTGAGTAGCAAAGTCTCCAAAATCTCCCTGAGCATTTGATCAGTTCAAAGCACCGCAACTAAGCTAGTATTATGGACGGGAACCCACTGATCTAGCGCACTTTCACTCCCTTCGCATCTTGCCAGCCTCCAGCAGACTAGCCTCATGAAATATGCTCTCACCATTGGACACCAATGGCAGAAAAATCTCTCCCACGTTGGTTTAGATAACAGCCACTCAAGGCAGAGAGCCCGCTTTCGCTCTTCATCCTCCACAATGACATCCCACGATGTGTAAACAAATGCCACTAAACGTAGCTCAGTCATGTTATTATGACTTTCTGACATTTGTTTCACAACGTCCATCCAGAACGGCCAATCGACCATTTGTGCACCAGAGATCATTTCGGCTTGCGAGAATATTGGCAAAACTTCCTCCATGAGGTCACATAAAGTAAAGCACGCATCTGCATCGAACACTCTTGTTTTTTTTACCGCTGCCTTAAGCATACCCATGAATGATTCTGCATATAGCTCGCGACATTTGTCTGAACAATTCGTTTTATCCGTCACCATGTCACGTAAAAGCACAACCATCTTGTTCTCGGCCATTGTGCGCAGAATATTTCGAGCAGTCATTGGAATCGCAGCTGTGGCATTCGCAAGCATATCCTCGAAAGTTGTCGAGGCTGATGGTTCTGGTCCGGATGCCGGTTTCCGATGAATGGTCGTATCGAGAATCGACAAAATATGAGCATGTACCAGAACATAGCCTGGAGCGGCAATTCGGGCAGTCGCTGAGATGTTTGGCGGCAAATAGTCGCACAGGAGGATGTGATAGTATTTTAAAAAGACGAAAAGCAAATCCGAGTCGCGCCCACACCAACGATTTGTCCAGGGTCCGTACCAGTCAACCTGACTCCCTCCAATTGGCAGCTTTGTTGGTTGTTTCATTTGCCGTAAGGTGGATGCTAATGTGGTAAAACCCAATGATTGCAGAGTCTCTGGAAAATCTGCGATTATACCCTCTGCAACTCCGCTGAGATTGATACCTCTCCCGACTCCGAACTCTGGTAAAACCCTTCTCACAGTAGCAGCTTGAATTCCCAAAAGACGTATTAACATTTCCGCAACACCGGAGCAGAAATAAAAGGCGTAGGCCAAAACTTTCCCGCCAAATGCTACCAAACTCGGAGGGACAGTTCTCAGACCCATCTTCTCAACAGTGTAGGCTAGAGTATCAAATAGGGTGCGTGTGAAAAGGACTTTGATGTTATGTTGGACTGATTTTTGGACCGAATAAGCAGAAGATGTAGAAGCCAAGGATGATGTGGACTGTGATTTCGAACTTGAAGGACATTTCAGCGACAAGGGTGCAAATGATGAAGGGGCAGCTCGCCACTCAGGGCGAGACATTAAACCGGAGATTCCCTCGAGATACGCTGGCCTGTCGGCCCCGGCAATGGCTTGAGAGTTGCGGTTCCGGAGTTGAGCAAGAAGTCCAGTCCACCAGCGGTGCAAAGAGCGCACTCTTTTATCAAGCTCATCGGGAGAGATATTTACTGAAGATTGTTGATGATACTTGCGCAGAAAGGGCAAAAGAGATTGTCGGAGAACGTTTGCCTTCTGGACGCTAGATTTACTTTGGAATCTACTCATACAGATTAGACAAAAGAACGTTCCCTATACCTGGACCGCATAGATACCTCTGAAAGTCATTCTCAAGTAATCTGAAAGCTTCGAAAATTTCATCTTTAACCTTTTTGTTGATTCCAGCCTTCTCCGCCATAATACTGAGGTTGTTAGTTGAGTTTGTTTTGGGGCTTATTAAGCGACTCCACTTACGGTATAGAAGGCTCAGATGCAGAAGATTTCATAAACACACTCAATGGTCTCCTTGTCACTTTACTCATTGTACTTGGCGTCCGGGACAACCCTGGCCTAACGGGAAGCTCGTTTTTGTCGGAATTGAATTCATCCTGCTCACCCGAGTTGGTGGGGCTTGAGGAAGATACAGAGCTTCCTGTCACATATTCCTCCTCATCCCTGCTATTCCTCCCATCCCGGCTACCTGGAGATGTTGATCTGGAAACACTAGGAGAGCTCCAAGAACGGCGGAACGTCTCAGAAACTGGACGGGTGTTTAGATCTAGGAGATCCGGCGCCGAACTGGAAGATGATAAAGCGGGATGCTGATATGATGTGTCTTTTATGACATCGGGGGACTTAAGAAATGTTGATATCGTAATTCGCGGTTGTCCCTTTTCTGTGGAGGTATCGACTTCAAACGTGGCAGAAGGTTGTAGAGATGGGGTATCTGCCACCAATTCGTCGAGGGTGGTCAGGGGCGTGGACGATGGCTTCTCGGACTGTTCGAAGGGATTTTCATTTGTGGTTATGATAGCTGTGGGGATTTCCTTCACGAAGTCACGGGACTTGAGTCCGTCAATAGATGAAAGAGCAACTTGGGTGGAGGAGCTGAAATCGCCCGTGTCCCTCCTTGTTTTCGATGGAGATCTAAAGGACAGAGAGAGACGGGGTGGGGGTCCTGTATGGATAGCAGGGGGTGCGGAGGTAGAGGCAGTAATTGGCAGCACTGGGATTGGGGGAAGTACTTCAGGCGGAGGAGCGGGTGCTTTCGTTTTGGACAATGACAAGCGCCGTGATGCCCGTCGGAACGAAAAGCCGCGTTGTGGTACTGCTGCCGTCTCTGCTACGGCGGGCGAGCTGGCGGCCATCGTCATGTAAATTTGACGAGAGAGAGCTCCTACTACTAGACTGTCGGACCAGGCAGTTTGGTATGCAGGTGGGCAGGAGGGTAAGGTACAAGTATATATATAAATGTGGGGTTATAAAATATCCCCTCCCCCCGGTATGGTGCTCCCTGTTCAGACAAGTAGTTCTACGAGAGCCGCACTTGCCGGTCGAAGAAACGGACGAACCGGCTTTCTTACACGGTTTAACGACACTGAATTGTATGTCGTTTTCTCTCTTGAGTGTTGTCCGAAGATCACGATATCGATAAATGGTTGTAGTTTGCTTTTTCTTACTTCGAAGTACTGGGGTGGGGGACCTCCGGAGAGCTTGGAGAACTTATCAAAGTTGAACGAGATGTAGCTGGATTGAATGGGCGTCGGTAGGGTCGAATCAGCCGAGAATGCTTCTTGACCAAGCTGACTGAGGCGTGAACTGGAACGCCGTAAACGACTGTAGGCCAGTAACTGATAGCTGGGCTTCAGACAGAAATAAGAAAATAAAAAACGAGCGGTAGAAAAGAAGGCGAACAACGACAGTTAACGTGCCGGAATAGAAGAAGTCGGAGATAGTTAGTACTTGAGTAAGTCCGTCCTCCCTTCAAAGGAAGTAAGGAAAGGGTGAGAAAAAGGAGCCTGGGGTTGGCAATAATAAAAGCCACAAAAGCACAAAAGCACCAAGCGGGACATGTCTTTGAAGGTGATTTTACTAAACCCTTCCTTCCCTTCCCTCAATGACACTGACCCAGCCTCGTATCCCTGCCAGTTCTTCCAGATCTATCGTGGAACACCATTCAGGTGGTGGTGGTGGTGGGAGGGGGCCCAGGAAAGGCTGTGAACATCCACACAACCCACCTAAACGTACAGATCTTTGTCTCTTTACATCACTTTCTATTTTCCACACCCAGACCATGCTGTTGGTTGTTGTCTTAGCCAGACTTGTCTTCCCCGTTTGGTAATTGTGGTGCCCAGGCACACAAAACACGGCCCAAGAATATTCCACAGCTAACCGGCCCGATCCCCCTCCCAACTGTATGTAGTTGGGTTTTACCTCCTTGAGAAATAGCGAGAGGCCGCGCGACTAAAGAACTTAAATCTGTCTCTCCGGGCCATTTCTCTTGAATTTCGTTCGTTGTCGTCCTCGTCTAACCTTCGGGTCCCCCAACATCCGATCCTTGTCCAGGATTAGTGGATGCAAGCGCTCAAGTGTCAGTCATTATTCACCCTTCTCTCTCTCTCTCTCTCTCTCTTTCTATCTGATCTATTGCAGATCTGATCATGACTGCCAGCTGCGCATGCGCAACTACAGATAATAATTATTTTTCCATCTCACACCCACTCTGGTACCACGACAAGTCCATGCACCTACGTCCTGTATGCAGTGGGAGTACTCCACCCAAACACAGGGCAGTACATCCTCCCCTGACCTGTCCTGTCAATGAATTAAATACATGTATTTACTCTGCTCTGCACACGCCCTGTATGTAGAATAGATACATGTATTCTTTAACACTAACATGCGCTGGTAGGTTGCACGAGTAAGGCGAAAAGCCAATTCTCCATGTAGAGCAACGACGGTCAGCCACCTACCTAAGTACCTACATGTACATGTACCTACATAGTGGTACAGAGTCCCCACGCACATACCTACCCGAAAACCAATCATTCCGGAACATGCTGGCTCCCTAACAAACATATTCCGAATTGCCGGTGGGTTGCAGGTTCGAGGCTTTTCGTCTGAACTTTTGTTCCTAGAGTACATAGTATTCTAATTGAGAATTATGCAATGCAAAGTTCAGAAAATTCTCAACTGCCTTTAGCATATTCCGGAGACTTTGCGAGTACCTGCCTATACAAGCTTTTTTCTCTTCGTTAAAAATTTTTCCCCATCATAGCCCCCCAGAATCGCGTGTCTTGAAGACACCGCCAATCATAAATGATCCTAGATGAGGCTGAAATGTGTTGACTTGCAAGGCTAGGCGACCCGCATACGCCCCTTCCAGAGGACCTCTCTGATGTCAAAAGACAAGGGGTTGCGTTGTCCAGAAAAATGGCAACCCCACTATTACAGTACCTATTTGCCTAAGGATGAATCTGGTAGCATAGTATCCATGGGCCTTCCAGCCTTGCACTCAAAATATTAACAGTTGGAGTCAAATGGGTCTATTACGGCGTAAGTATGCATGTATTTCGGGCTGAACCTCTTGCCGCGCTGAGAGACTTGACAAATAACTAGAAGCATGCAATACAGAGGCCGGGGAAACAGGTTTGCATGCGACTACTCTACATGTAGGTACCTACCTCTGTATGGTGTTTTTCCTCGTCTCTCCTGCACACCTGCCGCTTTTTTGAGACTCAAAATGTGTATTTCAAGGAGAACAGCTTTTGATTTAGATTTTGTACGCTGTTGTCTTGTTGTCTCTCAACACGCTACAACACCATATTTATCGGCCGAATCGGACAGTACAGTTGCCCTACTTTTGCACTTTCAGCTTTGAGGCGATCGATAGGGTAAACACAACCATTTACATATTGCATCCTCGTAAGCTGAATACATCCGGCCATTGTAATGATACAAAAAGGTAGAGTACCTCTCATCATGCTGCGGACCTTCACAAGTATGTCCCTCAGACAACTTTCGCAAATAATACAAATTACGCGTAGTATTAGTAGACAAATCGAGCTATTTGAAACTTTATCGTCTCATCTACTCATATATAAACGTTTGTAGATAATGTACCAGTAATAATGGTCTCTGGCTCTTTTGCAGACTGGTTAATATGATATTTTCAGCGAGAGAGCTCATAACCAATAGGACTCAAGGTATATAAAAATCAGCCGAGAACCGATCGTTGATCGTCACGTAGAGGATTATAGCTGGTTACGCTCGCTCTCAGGTCTTCCGTCTGGGTACATGTACTCAACACACATTGGGCTCTGCGAAAGTGCAGCATCAAAAGTTGAAGGGAATTCTTACAGAACTATCTTGAGTTCATAAAGAGACTAGTAGGTACACTAGAGCTCTGCTGGGTTCGAACGTGATCCTAAGGTGTGCCGGGCGATCGGATTGAGGTCTGGTTACAGAAATTCGAAGGAAGCTCCATATGATTGGCTTTCATATCCTTCTAGGCCTCGCTAGGTGCGTGTTTTGTATGGAGCTTGAAAACAGAAAGAGAGAAAAGCCTTGAGAACCAAGAGTTGAGGGGGACGGGGTACTGGGATATTCTTATTCTAAGTAGGATGGATGTTAAGCAGTGCTCTACTTGAGTACATACATAGGCCACAAGCTTGAGACCAGCAAAACAATTAAACTGGAGGATATTTCGGTAGTAATGGAGTTGTGAGAAGATGAGACGTTGACGACATTCTAGAGTGTTTCACAGACTATCCGCATTGCATCAAGCGCATGGTAATCATTCCTCTCTGGAACCTTAGCGAGACGCAACTAAGTGCCAATCCCGCTCTTAGCGGCTTCGTTAAAGTTTCAGTAGTCCCTTCTCATGGTGCTCTCCTGTTAGAGCCCATGCATCATTGTGTTCGTGTGCTACATATTGTCATAGACTTTTTCTTTTCCCGACTCCATGTTCGTAGACTGGAGTAACAGGTGAACCACGTGTAGATACATCATCATGTATACATACATACATGTATCTCACTTCCCTCACTACATATTATAATAATTATTTCTTTCTCTTCTGTTTCTTTACTCTACTTTCTTCAACAGCTGGTACTGTTTCTATTCGGCTGTGCTTGAAATTTTTTTTAATTATTACTACGGTTATCTACTCCATATACCCATATCAGAACCTGAGATCTCGTAAAGGTTTACTTGGTCAACGGGATCAATTTCAAGACGTACTCACGGAGAAAGGCCTTGTTGAACTTCCCTCTAGTGAACACCTCTGCTTTGATATACGGGAACTGGGACGAGAAAAGATCGAAAATGCCTATTCCAGCGTTTAACCGGACGACGGCCGTATCACAATGGACGTCCTTCAACATCACACAGGCACAAGTCAAAGGAATCCCCAACTTCTTCTCCAGATCCATGTTTGGCAACACCACCGAGCTTAAATCTGCAGCGCAGTTTATCGTAGTATGGGCGGTGGTAGCAGTGATCTTGAGGATATTTTCACGGCGAAGACTGAAGACAAGGATTGGTTGGGACGATATTTGCGCGATGGCTGCCGTGTTTTTTTTGGTCACTAATCAGATGATATTCTCCATGATAGAGTTTCTTGGTAGTTCTTTCTAATCTTCATCCTCTGTGGGACCTTGTGGTTGCTCTGATAGATCAAGTCCTAATATGTGTTTCTAGGGAAATCCAGCTTCGCTTTTGTTGGAAGGGCAGATATGGTAGAGGAGATGAAAAGGCTTTCGAAGATTGTGATAGGACTAAAGCTGAGCCTGGCATACGAAGTTATGTACCTGATCAGTATATTTCTTGTCAAGTTCAGCATGCTGTTTCTTTATAACCGGTTTGCGTGAGTTTGCGCCTCCCCGGAAATATCTTTTAGGCACCAAACAGATTTTGATTATTTGGCTTTACTTCTTTAGTCGCCATACAACACATATCACTCTTTATCTACGGGTCACCCAAGGGATATGCCTCCTCACTTTTGCAATCTGCATTCTGTCTCTTTTCCTCAGTTGTATCCCAATTAATATGTTTTGGAGCTTAAGCAACGATAATGGTAAGATCGAGAAGCCTTTCTTATGTTTACGACCACCTGCAGTTGCTTGTATATATTGGTCGTAAAGATGTTGAGAATTTTAACTAACACCCCGCCATCTTTAGAGCAGTGTACGAAAAGAACTCTACTTACATTTACCTCCGGGATCTCGAACATTGTTACAAACACATTAGTATTAGCAGTTCCAGTCCCGCTGCTCGTCCGCGCAAACCTCACTTTACGACAACGAATCGGGGTATCCGTCCTCTATTTTTTTGGAGGTAACTCAAAAACAGCCATACACAAGCTAGCTAGTGAACTTAACTTACTGATATCAATGTGTAGCATTCGTGATCGTCGCCTCCGCCCTCCGCTTCACAACCCAGCTCCTCGACGTCTCCGTCCCGCAAGCCATCGGCTGGTCTCAAATCGAAGTCTCCCTAGCCATAATCCTAGCCTGCGCCCCCATGTGCGTCAAGCTGCTCATCACGCCACTAATCGATCCGCGAGAGTTCGAAAAAGCCACAGACACCACGCAGTTTGTCGAAACGCCCACGTCCCTCACTGGGCGCATGATCTCAGAGAAATCGCAGCACGTGTATTACGAGAACCAGTTACGCAAATCGTCAAATATGCGGCCTCACCAGCAGCAGCATACGTCCCGACTTGCGCCGTTTATCATGTCCGGGAAGCGTCCGTCCAACGACGGGAAGGTGGCGTCGTTGTTCTCCAGGTTCACAGGGAAGGTACCGATCATGGGTCGGCTGAACATTGGTGGGTCTGCGCAGGTGGAGAGCCCTGGGAACATTAACACGCGGGAGTACCAGCGACTGAAGATAGTAAGGGCAGAAGTGAATGGACAATCTATTTGGCGGGTGAGTAAAAATCAATTGGTCCTTTGGATGGAAGAAAGTTTAAGCTGATTTACCGTTTACTTCAGGTCCGCCCAATATCGCCGGCATCTCCCTCAAAGGTTGCACAACAAGCCGAGAAATGGCCTCTGTAGAATTTCAGCTATGTTTTTGAGTCAGTGGGTTATTTGGCAATTCGGTTATTGATGCTTAATGAGATTCTTGTAGCCCGCCTTAATGTATATTTCAGAGAATATGAATGATTATGAGTAACTTCACATGTCATGTCACCGATATCCAGGCCCATGTACTTGGGCAATATCGGGCATTCCGCCAGTTACCGAGACTCAAATGTAACGATCTCTCTGTTTGATGTGCAACGCTATCCGTGATAGATAAGGTGCAATGATAAGCAATGCAGGTAATTGACAAAGCGAATGCACATACCACGCGATACGTCGATCTCAAATTTAAAAAATATCTTTCTACTGCTACATAACGGAGGGGTAGGGGAGAGGAAACGGCGTATTCGCCAAGGCCAAGCAAGCTACGGTCTAGAGCACCCTAGGTATGTGCCTACATCTTTCAGCCCTGAAAAACGAACTTTTCTGTGATACCATCGATAGTATACCATCATCGACGAAGACACAATAACCGAACAGAAGATTCCTGCCCACGGATTATGCCCATTGCATGTTGAAACCCCCACAGTGTCAGGGATCATCATAACCATAACTCTGGTTTCCGGAAATCTAGAACCCCTAGCCCTGTCACCGTTTCAGCTCCATACACGATGATACAAACCATCGCTTCTTGAATCGTGCAGCTAAAACACGCGGGGTATGTAAGTAGTATGTAGTACTTAGGGCTACATACATGTAGACGCCTATAACTGTGGCGCACAGCAGGCACGGTTGGAAATTAAACCTGACGTTACACTGACTGAGGCGGCGACTTGCCGCCAAGCAGGCGCTAGGAGCCGTGAAGATCCTACGTTTGTAGATATCTTTAGAAAATTCCCGTACCTGTCCAGCCAGCCATGAAGAGCGGGGTGAGCATCTTAATTTTGGACCGTTGATCTGGAGCTGACTGTGGCTTGATTCGCACAAAGCTTGTTTTGGGACTGGCCTCACCTCACTCAGCCAGAAAGTCAGGTCCGGTCAAGCCAGCCCAGGCCCATCTAGAACATTGAGCCACATAGCGGTTAATAGAATAGGTTCTTATACGTGGCGTCTGTCTGGCGTCTGTCTGGGAGTGGGGTGTATCACACACTATCACTCGACACCCGCATGCGCAGGAAATCATTTCCCGCCAACATTGGCTCTAGAGCGGTCGGGGTTAGCGGGCTTGGCGTGCGCCTTCTTTGGTTTCGGGACTAGCGCTGACACAGCGATCTTGCACTTTGGATTCTTATTGCGCCAGAAGCAGAACTCCGTGTGCAGATACACGTAGAAATGGTTGTTTGGTGCATGCATTGGCCGGCTTTGATCGCGACCGGCCTCTGTGTTGAGTAGGCCGAGCCCTGTTTACTCGGAGCTTGAGTCAGTCTCGGGTACCGAGTGATACCTTGTGTTCGATAACCGTCGGCCGAATAGATGGTGGGAGCAGGAATGTGCACATTACATTATTCCTGGAGCATACGAAAAGAACGTTGGACGAGAGGTCTTACACTTCAACTGTTATCGGGCGGGGAATTGGACGATGTAAAGTGTGCTCCACATATACTCTGGGTTGCCCCGGGTTGAGATTGGGCTTCACCCGGCCGAGTCGAGGCAGAATACCGCCCGGCCCGACCCATTACCGGATACCCGCACCAGAAATCCGGGTGTTCCGGTGTATCGTTTATCAATGTGGCAATGAGGGAGCGATATCTAGGAAATATGAGGATCTATCTTGTAGTTTGGGTTCCTTTCGTGTGATCATCTCCCATCACTCGACCCTTGGTTTTGGTGGTGAAACGGCGCGGGCCTCTCTCGCCCGGGCCGACGCAAGTACATATATCCTTACCCACCGGTAGTTGTCAGGCTCGCCCACCCTCCTCGATGATTTCGTGCAGCTCTATGGTACGCACGGTGGATAGAGGGTCAAACATCCTGCAAGTTAGGGCTTGAGCTTGGGGAGAGCCAATCCGGTGTAGCGGCCCATTGACGAACACAGACCGGGATATCCACGGGTACAGTGCAAGAAGATAAAGTTTAGCGGATAACTACATGTAATTGTCTTGATGATGATGAGAAGAAGAGGAGCGCTTCCCACGAATAAACACAATCTAAGCCACCCATGATAAAGACAACATGCGGTAGTCCTAATATATCACTACATGTAGTCTAACTATGTCAATTCTTATTATCATGACAAGCACTAACTAGGGTTAGGGGTAGGCCCCCGCATAGAGCCCTGCACTGTAACCCCGGAGGCCAGTTGTGAGAAGACCGGTTGACATCTGTTACATACATATAGCTCTCGCTTCATTCAGCACGTAACGTTCTTACAGCTAAAGGATGTCTTAAGACTCATGGAAGGTCGGAATCGAAGGCCAGAAGCATCTATCCTCATACGTTACATCTTGATGTGACATTTGAGGAAAGGGATACCCTTTAAAAACTACATACATGTAGCATTCTTTCTCTCGAATTGTATGCTTTGCATTTTACACCGCAGCCCAGACACAGCCTATCAAGCTGAGTTATGTACTGTGTCGACCTCTGTGCGTGTACAGCCCGCATTCATAAAAACAGTACAATACGAGCTCCCAATCACGCCATCGTCCACCCCGCAGACCCTACATGCCCCAGACCCTGCACGCCCCACGAACTCATCACACCGGGCGAAAGCTATGCTCGGGCATAACTGCCGGGCCTTGGCATGGTCGGGTGGAGCGGACCAGGTGCAGATGGCTACAATCCATTTCGGGACTTGAGGCGACCTCAAGTAGTGCCTGTCTCATGCTAGGTCTGCATAGCGCCGCTGCTGCATAATGCAGGTGCTGTGGCTTGTATCCCCGATTGTGAACGAGGTGCGTCATGGAGGATCACTCGGTTATCTCTACGGATCTAATTTTTGATACTACCCTGCCACAGTCAGGTAAGTAGTTTAAAAACAGGGTATATCAATGGGGATATAGCTGATACAGAGTAGATGGGTGAGTTCTGATGGAAATTTGTGGAATAGCGAAGATTACGTTGAAATCCTCGTCTGAGTCTTGTTACTGCCCAGGGTTGATCTGATCACACAAACACTCGTATCGAAATGCGACCCAGAAATCAGTTGGGACTCAAAATTGCCTGGTTGGTGTCATACCAATGAGCACTTGTGCTTCCTTGAGGGTTGGAGGGCATCACTGACGGTGACGGTGGTGGTGACTATGGCAGTAATGTGCTACCAGGCATTACATGAATCAATTATCTCATGCCCTCCGCTCAAGAGAAAGTAAGTTTGGAAGAAACAAGTGGTATGTGGTATTATGTGTTTTACTCACTGTGGGAAGCGATCTTGGCGTGAAGAGGAGGTTCCGGCGACGAGGACACTAGCTAACCTAGGCGGGTCCGGGTGGAAGAGCAACTCTGCAGTACTGCTACATACCGGCCACAATATAGGTTGACTTATCTTATCAATACTATCTACTCTATACCTTACCCTTGACATATTGCTCTGCTGATATACATTCAAGTAAATCCGTGTAGTGCTCCGGGCGGAGGACAGTCTACTAAAACAACAATTTTGGCAGATTTCTTGATTCTTGAGATAGATCTACCCCCCGCGCCCAGAATAAGCACTCACCAACTCATATGTGAAGTTCTCTTTTCATAAAGTGTAAGGTGTTTTGGATAAGAGCGCATGAACGGTCTTGTCTTTTTAACTTCTGTCAAGGGCTCTCCGCTTGTGGATGCGTCTACTTCATAGAATCTCACTCGCATATTTATACCAGTCTAGTCTGGAGTTACTCTCATAACCTTTAATTCTCTACGTGCCGCTCACGTATTTAATCTCTCTCAGCCTGGGACGTATCAACCAGCTAACTCCCATTTGTGTATTGGATTTGCGTCAGCCCAGTGGATCCCCGAGGCTTGCCAGATGGGATTTTGGGGGCCGATTTCTTTACGATCACTGGGACTAAGACCTGCTATAAAAATAAGCATGGCAGTAAAGATTCAAAGCAAAGTTAGATTTTTATCTATCCCGTTGCCTACCTCCCCCAGGGAGTGGGTATTAGTCTTGTTAAGAGTATTAAAAAAAAGAGAAAAAACCAGCGTCTTCCCTCCACCCAACCGCTTATACAGCCCTCCCCCTCCCAATCCCCGCCCCCCTCGTCGTCCTCGATGCCGGCACCCCCCTCGCCATCGGCGGCGGCGCCGCAATCCTCGACCCACCCCTCGAAGACCCCGCGGCCGATCCCGTAGTCCTCACCGCCCTCCTCAACCCTCTCGTACCTCTCGTCGGCGTTGGCTTCTTCTCCGCCGCATTTCTCCTCGCCTCCGCTTCCGCGGCGGCCCTCTCACGCTCCGCTATCCTCCCGCGCTCGGCCTCCCTACGGCGCTCCGCTTCCTGCGCCTTATTCGCCGTCTCCGCCTCGATGTCGTCGAGGTCCTGCGTCGCGCCCTGCCAATGACCCGAGAGGAGGAGGCGCTGCGTGTGCTCTGTTTGCGAGAGGATGCGGATCCACAGGTCGAGGAGTGTGTTTGCGTTTGCGACTGTTTGCGAGACGGTCTGTAGCACGGCGGCTTGGTTAGCTTTTTCGCCAATCTGCCTCTGGGAGCTGGAAGCTGGGAGCTGGGGACGGACCTCCATGTTGTCTTTGGCCTTGTCAAGGGATGCGACGACGCCCTCGATTACGCTGTTGATCTTGCGGACGCCCGCGAGTTCGGCGCGGAGGGCGTCGTCGCGGGAAATTGTGTCGACGCGGGGAGCATCGGTGGGGCGGGAGCTGTCTTCTTCGGCGGACATGGTGGGATTGGGGGTATTGGATGGGGGAGGTGGTGGGGTGCTGGGGAGGTTGCTTGGGGTGGAGGGGCGGGCTTGGCGAGGCTTGGCTTTAGCTCTATCTATGCGCATATGGGGAATCAACGGCTGAGCAGATATGAAGATTGAAGCATTGGGTGATGAAGCTTGGGTTGATGGTACGAGTGATCTCCTATGAGGAACTACTGTGATCTGTGTTGTCTTGATTAGCGGTAAAGCTATGAAACGCCCCTCAAGCATTCTACATGTTTCGGTCATGGCTTCTCAACAACAACCGAGTGATACATGGTGACGCATCTACTCATTTTATTTCTCTAAATGACGAAGAAAAGGAATGTTGTTGAGGAATCCGGTCATTTAGAACCCCCAAACACACTATGCTGAGCCGGAATGCACCTCAAATCAAAAGCGGGTGTTTGGCATGTGAAAATCTTCTGCAGCTGGATTTACTTGAGCTCCCCTGGCTACGCTCTCCTAGCTTCACTTACCTACATGTAGTATTTAGGTCAAAACGGACGGAAGTCGGGTGAAATTGACTATTGGAATAGGGATATCGAGAGCCTGATAGAGCTGAGATCTTGGCATCCAATCCTTATATGGGTTTGCGCAATCGCTCACAGAAACGATTCAATTGAATTTGAGGCCTCTTTGGTCAAACCAGTTCAAATAATTCCTAGATACGTACTAGAACGTACAATGGCTGCTTCGGGTACAGTTGAGTGGGGGGCATTTATCTACTTAGGAATCAGTTGTCTCGTTGCCAGCGGGGGTTTCTTTTTGGTCGTGGTTGTATCCTCTAGCTTAGCGATGTATATTTCCACACCGCAATAAACATAGGTGGCACGAGACTAGGTAGGAATTTATCTTGACATAGGTATTGCAATTAAGAATATAATTTACCAGGAGCGAGATATCTTCTTCATTTCCAGTATTTTTAATTCCCGGTTCTGCATAAGAGAGCCGATATCCCCCCTGCACTCCGTTTGGCTGTTGTTCAACTGCAGGAGAGCGTAGCAACAAGTTGCCAACAACAACAGAGAACCCTGCCATGCCCACTCCCACTACTTTACACTCGCTTCATCCAGCCAACCAACACTTTGCTTGTTTCTCACCACACCCCCTCCTCTCCTCACCCTCTCTCTGGAAGAAATCCTCCTAGAGTGTGCTCATTTGCTTCTACATCAAACTCCCTGTACCTCCTCATAAAATCTATCTACTTGCTCGATCGATTGCACATCGTCGCTCCTTTTTTTATCATCTTTTTTTTTGCTGCAACGTATTTTTTTTTTTTTTTTTTTCAATTTACGCGTGTAATCCAATTGGCTTTCTCCGCGCGACCTAGTGCCTGTGTTTACGGCCCTACCATCACTCAGGGGATTCGCGTCTCCGTCGTTCCCCTCAACTAAACACCACAACAAACCCACCTCTCAACAAGCCCACAGACAGACCACAATCTCCACAATGAACACTCCACCCCGCACACGCACCTCGCGAGCTGACCGTGTCCCCCCAACCCCGCTCCACGGCGCTCGGTTCGATTCCCCACCTCCGACTTCCAGAAAGCAGAAGGGCAAGGGCAAAGCCGGATCCTCAGCATCGTCATCCACATACTCCACAGCTACACTTTCACCACCCCCTTCATCTCCTCTGGGCCCAGATGACTCCGCATTGCCGTTCGAGCCAACACGTAAATCCCGCAAGAGGCGGGCATCCGTGTTCGATGATGTCGTTGACAAGCCGGTAGAAGTTGAGAGTGAGGGATGGAAGGAATTGGAAAAGATGTTCGGGAAGGACTTTGGGAGGGGCCCTACAGCTGTTCCTAGTGGCGTTGGGCTCCCTACGCCGTCAAAGACTCCTGCCAGGAAAAGAAAGCACTTCTCAATCGATTCAGTTGCTGGCTCTTCAAGGAGGCTATTTGGATCAAAGAGCTTCACACCAGCTCCCACTGTCTCTACCTCGAAGGAGGATATCTTTGGCACCACCATGAAGACAGGCAGTAAGAAGCGTGCCGGAAGGTTGGATTTGACGGGAGAGGGCGAAGATAATGGTAGCCCCATCAGTATCTTTACCGATAACAACGCCAGAATCCCTAAATATGATCCATGTCCAGAGAATCCGTTTGTCTCCCAGAAGGATAGCAAGAAGAAGAAGGAAAAGAAGACTGTCAAGGAGGTTGACACACTAGGCGAGGATGGCAGAAGGGAGGACGGAATGGTCTATATTTTGTGAGTTTTACTTTTTTCTTGCCTTTTTTTTCCAACTTTTTGATGTTGCTCATCTTTTGATTTTTCAAATTCCTAATAATTGTAATTTTATATAGCCGTGGAAAGAAGATGTTCCGCAAATTCACCGACATGGATGACCCTGACGAACCACTTCCTAAGGCTGCTTCCCCGACTCTTGAGAATTCTGTCGGAGAGGAGGAAGAAGAAGAAGAACAGGAAGAGGAGGATGAGGAAGCGGTGGTAGAGGAGGCGAGTGAGAAGGAGGAAGAGAAGGAGGGGGAGGAGGAGGTAAAAGCCAAAGTCAAGCTTAACCTGGAGCTCGTGGGACAACCTGGTGGAGATAAAGCGGAAGGAGACGAATTAGAGGAGGAGAAGGAAGAGGAGGAGGAGGAGGAGGAGGAGGACCTCGAAGAGTTCGAACTGGAGGAGCAGGAAGAAGAGGACGAATTCGAGGAAGAGGAAGATGAGGAAATCAACGCCATTTTGCGCAAGCGTTCCTCAATCCGTCCTCGCCTCCTTTTCCCCTCCAAGGACGTCGAAGAATCTGAAGACGACGAGGAGGAAGAGGACGAAGAGGAGGAGGAGGAGGCCGAGACCGATGTCGAGGACGTTTTTGCGGCCATTACTGCCGAGATCATCGAGAAGAAGAAGGGCAAAGATGATATCTTCTCCAGGAGCACCATTTCTCGTCTAACACCAGAATCCGATGACGATTTTTCATCAGGCAGTAAGAAGAGCGGCGCCAAACTCGATGACAGCGTTTTTGGCTCTCATGGAGATATCCCAAAGAGCACCCGCAAGAGGTCATCTCTCTTTGATAAGCCAATAAAGAGACCTGGCAAGGGGTTGTTTGAGGATCTTTCGGAGGGAGCAGCAGTTGGAGAGAAGCGTAGCAGGAATGATGCTTTTGCTGGAACCTTGAGTCCTCCTAGGACGAGCAAGAAATCAAAGGGTCCCATTGCCTAAGGGGTTTTGACGGGGGATAGATACAATAGATTGTATTGCTTTTGGCTCTGCTGATCATTGGCCCTTGAGATATCAGTGGTCATTACATGTAGTAACACTAGCATCTTTCTGTCTCTCCGAGTGTGCTTTTTTTGTTAAAGGTCGAAATATCATTCGACAGTTTTCAGATTGTTCTTTTCTTACTACTAAGCGGCAAAGGCTTGCCTCATCATTCTCCTTTTCTTTCTGGCTTTCCTTTTCCTTTTCTTATACACTGGCGGTTTTGTACGATCAACTTTTATTACTTCTCAACTTTTGTTTCCTTACCTCTCTTCTTTTTTCGTTTTCATGAAGCATATTTTTTAGTGTCTCCTTTTTTCCTCCCGGCTTTTAAAAGAATGCCATGGTTTTTTTCTTTTTATTATTATCGGCAGCCAATCTGCCTGGGTTCTGTAGGGAAGTGAATAGTCGGGATTGTCTTTCAGGAACCCGGAGGGTTCAGAAGCATGTGATTTGATCTTCCCAAGTAAGTAGCAGTTGTTTTATGTTATGTAGGTTGTTTTACGGAGAATATCATTCAAGAAAGACCATTGGGATAAAGGCTTGGGATGCGATGATAATAGTTATGTGTAGTGATGTGACGATGATTGTTTGTATATTTTGGGCTTTGGAGCTTTGGGGTTTTTGATACGGTATGTCACTCGGAAGTGATATTTTTGAAGGCATGGAGCGTCCTAGATGAAATGCGGGGTGATAATGATAAGGTTTAAGGCGTAAATGCTTGTATGGTTCAGATGCCTTTGTGATACCTATTGGACCACCTATCACGTTGTAAGCTGAAGTTACATGGACACTTAAGCTGTCCTAGCCTGAAGCCATCAAAACATCTTTATCTGATAGGTATTAGAGTTTAACTATAATCTAGATTCCTACCTCCGTTAACTGAACTGTAATGCTCCGCTCCAAGGTCTAATAGTTGTTCTCCTGCCGTGGTGACTTTTCATCTGCGGTGGTGACTTCATGTTTACCCAGCCAAGACTCACCATGGCGAGAATTGGATTGTTTCGAGCTCGAGGAGATTGCACGATCCTCCTGCGCGAAATCGGCCAGGCACATGAAAAACTGTACCACATGGACATCTGACAGGTACTCCACATGTAGTTAGAGTAGATCTCCGGATCAAAGGTAGCTCAAACTTCTTCACCTCCCTTCCTCTTCACATCCCCTTAGTTAGGCCGGTCTGTGGTTCTCTCCAAATATTTATAAAACTTAACTTGAAGTAAAGCTTGGTTTCGTGCTTCTTGCATGTTGTGTTCCAGGACCAGTAGGTCATTGATAGGTTGCTTTTGAAAGTTGTTCGGGCCGTTGCAGGGGATATTTCGTCCCAAGACTTCGGTAACCTAAGGACAGTCGAGTACGCGTTGTCCATATTTGGCAGATGTGCTTCGCCCCCCAGGCATTAAGCAATCAGCACGAACATCTTCATCATCCATCCCCTCCACCACCATCGCCATCTCCTGTATCAGTCTACTGTTGATCTGGCTTGTAACCGTGCCACAATCACAATAAACACCCTTTTGTCCCCTCGTTCAGTTTCCCATTCTTCCAACCCGCATCTCTCTCTCGGATCCTTATCAACTTCCTGCCGGATCAATTTACACACTGGATGGGTTGTCTGTGACACGCCCCCAGCGGTTTTCATTCTCTACAAAGCCCCACCCCCCCTCCCCTTTCCTTTCTCTTGTTTATAGGTTTCTCTCACTTTCGTTGCCGTAATCCTTTCGTTACTACGTTCACATAGCTGCTTTTTCGGCCACTGCACATACCGCCCAGCACACAACAGCTTTAAGTTACCCCTAACACCCCCCGCGGGGACCACCTGCCCGATGAGCGACGAGAAGCGTTCTATGCTAGCTCTCGATCCTCCGATCCCGACCTACGAAGAGACTATCGCTTCCCGTGCACCAAGCGATGTCGGCGAACACGCAGAGACCTCGCAATTGCTTGGAGACCGGAGGAGTGGTACTCGAGGCTATCGACAACCCACTGTTGAGAGTGAACGGAGCTCCTTGGAAAGCTCTTTCTTAGATGATTTTGCGTCTAGCCGGGGGTCCGGGGATGGTCTGGAACCGGAGATAGAGCAAATGGGGATTTTAGATCCGGGCGAAGATGAGCACGGTAATGATCGGAGTAGGAGGAGGCCTGGGAGGTTACGACAGAATATAAGCAAGCGCATATCCTCGATAACAATGTCGTTGTCATCGATAAGCTTACCGGATTCTTGGAAGGTGAATCCGTTTAAAAAATGCTTCCCGCGGTTTTCAATACCTGAGGTCCCTTGCTTCAGTGCTGGGCTGATACCGGTGTATCGATTCTTGGGTGTTGTGGTAGTCTTGATAGTGGTATATACACTACTTGCAACAGATGCCATCAGCATGAACGGCCCGGGAAATCCCGCGAATGGGTTGATTAGCTTTGACCCGGAGATAGTAAAGCAGTATGTGAAGGACACATTGGACAAGGACAAAATATCACATTACCTGGAGTATTTGACCAGTTTTGATCATGTTGCCGGCACACGGGGAGACCTCGTGCTAGCAAAATGGGTGGAAAAGGAGTTTAGGAGCTTTGGACTAGAAAGTGTTGAATTAATAGAGTATAGAACCCTAACCTTATTTTCTAGAGTACATTGCGCATTAATCTAATGACTGCTTCAGATATTTTGCCTACGTTAATTATCCAAAACCCGGAGGGCGAAAAGTTGCGATAATAGACCCCCCATGGGAAGCAGTTCTGGAGGAACCAAAAACTGAAGGAAAAGAAAACACACTTGTTTTTCACAGTCACTCGAAATCAGGCAGTGCGACAGGTCCGCTAATATACGCCAATTATGGGTCACGAGAAGACTTCTTCGAATTGGAAAAGAAGGGTATCGACTTAAAAGGCGCCATTGTCCTGGTTAGAAATGGTGGAACACAGCCAGATAGATCCCTCAAGGTCAAGGCTGCCCAGGACAAGGGTGCAGCTGGATGTATTATATTTTCGGATCCTAAAACGGAAGGATGGGATCTACCCGGGGATGCGGTACAGAGAGGCGGTGTTGGTCTGTCGAACTGGCTTGTCGGAGATGTGTTAACACCGGGGTATGCTGCGGAAGAGGATTCTGTGAGGATCAAGAAGGAAGATAGTCCTGGACTTCTGGAGATTCCTTCGTTACCATTATCATGGAATGATGCACAACATTTGCTCAAGTCACTCAAAGGCCATGGAAAGAAGGTTGAGGGGTCTTGGGAGGCTGGTAATAATTTCAACGAGGAAATCTGGACAGGTGCTATGGATTCCTCGCCGAAAGTTCAACTCGACAATCTTCAAAACGAGGAGGAGAAGCAACCAGTGTTCAATGTTCTAGGGTTGATCAAAGGTTATGATGACTACAAGAAAAGAATCACTATTGGAAATCACAGAGACGCTTGGTGTTTTGGCGCCAGTGATCCAAATTCCGGAACTGCTATCATGCTGGAGGTTGCTAGGATTTTTGGACAAATGGTGGAAGTGGGGTGGAAGCCTAGTAGAAGTATTATCTTTGCAAGCTGGGATGCCAAGGAGTATAATCTCATTGGCTCAACGTAAGTTTAAACATATACTCCTCCCAATTCTCAATTGCTTAGAGATATTGATGTCGCGATCTACAGCGAGTACGTTGAGGATAATATTGAGTCTTTACGCCTTCATGGAATGGCGTACGTCAATCTTGATACAGCCATAGCTGGAACCAAATTTTCGGCATCTGGTTCACCACTCTTACAAACCGCACTCATGAATTCTTTGGAAATGGTGGATGATCCCCAGACCAGCGAATCGCTGAGGAAGCTTTGGGGCGATAAATTTCTCCCTGGGCTAGGTTCCGGGGGTGACTGGGTAGCATGGCAAGATTACGCGGGAGTTTCTTCAATTGACCTAGGTTTTACTGGAGGAGGGTTCCCGCACCATAGTTGTTACGATAGCTATGAATGGATGAAAACTCGTGGCGACCCAGACTTCAACTATCATAAAGCCATGGCTCAAGTTCTTGCAATGCTCATCCTTGAGCTTGCAGACACTCCGCAATTACCATTCAACATGACAAATTATGCCGTTGCCCTCGACCGCTATACCCAGGACCTTGAAGGATTCATCGATAAGAAGGCGAAAGCCTCGCCATCTCAAGACTCTCACGTTGATTTAAGTAAACTGAGAGAAGCGATTACAACAGCTCATTCGAGACTTTATGAATTTGATACTAAGCACGAACCGTGGATGGATCAAATGGGAACAGTCATGGGGGGTCTAGATAATTATGGGACTATTCATCGGAATAGTCGAAATGCAAGGATGAGCAATTTTGAGGAGCATCTCCTAGATCTGGATGACGGTGGTGGACTACCCGGCAGACCGTGGTTCAAACATGTAGTCTTTTCGCCAGAGGTACGTTTGAATGCAGTGATACCACACAAAAGAGGTACTAACTTGTATTAATAGGCATGGGGTGGGGCAGAACCTGGCTACTTCCCTGGTATCCGAGATGCTGTGGATAAGGGTCATTGGAAGCTGGCACAGGAGCAGGTCGAAATAATAGCGAAACGAATTGATCGGGCTAGCTGGAAGCTTCTTAATTGAGGGGCTAGATCATGGCATTAGCGCATTTTATTTTATTTTATTTTATTTACCTCTCGTGGTCCTAGTGTAGGGTACGATCTTGAGGAACTTTTCTTTACCTTTTATATCGCATGGGTGGGGCTGGCTATGTATGCCATCTATATACCCTTTTCTTACCCCCTCTACCTCCCCATTGTTTGCTTTTTTTATCTCTTTCAGGAGTTTGTTTGGCATCTTTTCTATTTTACCTACCTCTTTCGTGGCTATCTTACTATTGTTGAAACATAGATGTCCGAGGACTTGCCCGAGGGTGTGTTCTAGCTAATTCCTACCGAAAACTTGTTCGATGGTAGTGAGACAGGACTGGTTGTACGGATAACTATTGCGTCTCGGTATGGGTAGACATGCGGAGATAGTTTTCTTCGTGGCAAAGCAACTATGGCTGTGTCTTCTTGACTGTAATTTTTGTATATATCGGTTTTGTTTATTTCTTTGGGGAAAATGGGTAGTGGGGGTCGGTGGGGGTTGGTGGAAGGGGCTAATCATACATAAGGCATTAACATTGATGGAATTAGGTGTAATGGTATGAATCGTATCATGGGCAAAGATCTCTAGCGCCATTGATGTTTGCGGCAAAAGAATGGTATTGCTACACCTCTATTGTATGGTTTCTGGTCACTAATTTAGTGAGAGTTCCGTTTTAAGTACATATACGTACACTTTTGAGTACATGTGTATGTCGTGTAGAGAGAATGTCTAGGTCAGTAAAACAGGTACGGTAACACCACACCATATAGCTATGCTTTCAGATTCCCCGAGCAGATAAGATCTCGACCTTGATCGCTATGACCCAATTGCAATGCCGTCCGTCCCGTTTGTCCGTTTAGTGACGAAAGCCAACCAACACTTTATGGCCACAATGCGGAAGACCATACTCCTAGACACATTAATGCCCTTAAGCTCTGTCCCAAACCATAATCCAATCCCAACCCAGAGTTGTGCCCGGGAAATCATCATGGTATTCACCTCGACCGTGGTCATAGCCCAGTCCCAGTATTCATGCCAACAACTATCTATGAATCGCATTTCCCGTGCGATATCTGCTACCCACCCCGAAGTATCCACGAATTCAGCGTCCATACTCCAGCCATTTCTAGCACATGGACTAATCGCGCAGTAGAATATCTACAGACCAGCATCGAGTAGCCCTCTACCTGTAGTCAAAGTCTTATATCACCGGGCACAATTCTCAATTCTCTATGCTCTTGAGGAGAGGTCATGGGCTGACAGGATCAAAAATGGAGACTGAAGCGTCGGAATTTACGATTGTGAATACCTGTATGAAATTCCGGGTTGCAGGTTTTCGATTGCTTTGTGTTGTTTGTCCTATCGGACAGCAGATCGGGGGGGAGGAATAACGTTGCTCCCAGGCATTCCATTCAGAGAGCATGAAGATATTACGCATCACGACCAATCACTCGCAATCCACCCCGCGCGCGCCCATTCTCAAAGCCTGCACAACCCACCACCCACAACCCACCACCCTGCGTGGCCCCCAAAACCCCACACCACCCACCAAATCTTACAAACGGCGGCAAGTAGACAACCGCGAGGACAGCCAGTCTACACGCCCAAATAACGTGTTTCGCACGAAACAACCCGCCTTATCCCACAACCCCGGTACCCTGCCTGCCCTGTCTTGCCATGTCTTGCCTTGTTGTTGCGAACTTAGCCGTATGACAGCAACCCGGGATAGTCTGTTTTACATTACCGTAAGCGTAAAACAAGCGTACGAGCTTTAACTTAAAGCCTTATGTACATTCTTAAGTGCTGACTGACTACGTGTTGTGGGTAGAGTGTAGGGCCAGGGTCTGATTCTGTCACCCTAGGTTAGAATTCATAAGCGCAGATGCGGAGGGTGGGTGGTATGACTAAAGGAAACTGAGTGATTCTGTTTGTTTCTGCGTTCTAGCTATATGCTAGGCTAGGATATCGCGGGTTCTATCATTGGCAAGGCATTGAAGGGGGCAGGATGACTTCTACTAAGCCGGACGGATACGCCGTAGTGAGAAGAAGAGGCAATTGGTTGCTGTTCTTTTGCATAATCGAGACAGAAGTAAGATGTCTGCCCCCGATCGATTTTTGAGCTTTTTCCAGAATCACTGCGCCGGACATGAGATATCACTCGTTATTTACCCTTAGGTTTCCATTCTGGGCTATATATTTATCTTGGTAGGCGATTGGATGGCGATATGTGCGCTCGGCCAGGTAGGTAATATGGTGCACACAAGTGCGCATCTCGATTCTCAAGGGGAAAGATGTCGCGTGGTGCAGAAATTGATTCTTATCTTATACCTACTGACCAATATCATTATGGTGCTCAGTAGTTTGATAGATGGATATCTACGTGTGCTGCGAGAATAAACCTCCACGCCCCGTTTCAACCCCCAACAATTGGGCGAGAACCACGCAAGTCGATCGAACCACTCAGCTGCTGCACTTCATGGGAGCAGCTACGTAACATACGTAACCAAGACCGCAGCCGTCCGTGACACAGAAAGCCAGCCTCAGCTCGCACGTAACTAAGTGCACACCTGGAACCAGCCAGCCGGCCAGGTAGTCACACATCAGCTCAAAAAACCGCCATGGCCAATGATCACATCCTCCGGGAAAACGCCACGAGGGGAATACCGCGCGGGCAGGGCGCAGATCTTCATTAAAGCCCCGGGTGGTGCGCGTGCGGGACTGGCTTGGGGTTTGGGGTTGTCTGAGATGAGAATTCGAGGGTGCCGCTAGGATTGAGGGTTAGGTGTAGTAAAGTTAGTAGTTCGGGGATTTTAAGATCGATCCTAGGTTAGTTAGGGCAGATATCTAGAAGGTATATACTCGGACAGAAGTTTTAGTAATATACCCTTTTTACAGCCAAAGTAGCCATGTTTAGCTACCCAAAACAACCAACTAACCTCATCAAAAAAATTCCAACTCTTCAAGGGCAGTTGGAAATTATCTCACGACGGAGTTCAGAGAATTCTAGAATTTTGAGTCCATTCTTCAGGCGTGTGCAATCTAATTTTTACCAAAACTTCTGTACCCCGACTGTACGTAGCGTAGTGTTTGAGAAGAGATCAGGAAAGGTAAATGTAGCTAGCTATTATCGATTCAGTAGAGAACGAAGATGGAGGTGAAGTCATCCCGTAGAGCACGTACAGTACGTACTCTACTGCTCTGCTTCGTAACGCGGCCGGTGCCAAGCTATGTAGCTCCGAGAGCGGAGAAAAGGTTGAAACGCAGCGTAAACTTAGCCTAACGTCGTCGTCGGCAGTAAACATCCAGAAGCAAAAAGAAAAGAAAAAAACCTCCCGCGTTTCCAGGACCAGGCGCCGTATTTCGGAAGACAGCTCTTGCTCCGAAGGAAAGCTAATCCTGCCATCTAGAGTACACTCTGCAGGCAGTTGTGTAGCTAAATTCACCGACTATCACTACGACTAATGTCTCTCTATTTCTGCGAGGGGGATATGTATGTATAGTACTAGGACAGAAGTTTTGGCGATTTTTTCAATCGCCTCGTTGGCAACCACAGGCGATCCCTCAACCACCTGTTGTGTAATCACGAATAGGCCTCAGAACCACTTCAAATTTTACGAGTGAATAGTTTATATCTATATTGTAAATTCGATTTAATTACATCCATGTCATCTGAACTCCTTGCCATCTAATACTTTGTATACCATCCTTCTGCCTCTATAAGAGCCTCTACTCGATCCACCATTGATTTTGTCAAATTCTCAAGGAAATCCTGTTCTATTCCTTCCCACATACATGGAAGAACTTCAGCAAGCCTTGCTCTAACTGCTTCTGGACCTCCTCTAGTATTTGCAAGGTTTGGGTAGGATGTGTGAAGCCTATCCTTAAGGCGTTTCCAGACATGCTGGATAGGGTTCATATCAGGTGAATAAGGAGGCCAGTCTTCCAACTTGATATCATTTGCCGTCAACCAAATCATAGGAGAGTATGCCTTATGTACCGGAGCATTATCCTGCATGAATGTTGCATCGCCCAGTGTGTCTTGTACTCGTTCATAGACCGGTTTCATGCAGGTGTCGAGGAGGCGAGTATAGACAAACTGATCTATAGATTTGACGACAATAGGAACAAAGGTACCACAATTCCTCTCCCAAAAACAGCCTCAAACCATCAGTTTTACCACCCCACTCTTTTGTTTGGGGTTAATACAGTCATTTTTCCATTTTTCCCACCAAGAACGAAATACCTATATTTGACCGCCATGTCGGCATTTTTCTACCGAGCATTCATCACTCCAGATGACCTTCTCCCAGTCCCCTACCGTCCAATGCCTATGTGCAAGGGCCCAAGCAAGTCTACTAGCAGCATGTTCAGGTTTTAAAAGAGATCTGGCTGCGGCTTTCCACTTGCGAATACCTCTTTTCTGGAGGTAGCGTTTTACGGTCCTAGTTGAGACCTCAGGTGCTAGATTGTCCCATAATTGGCGAACAGACTGGGTTCTGTTTTCTTTTGCATCAGTAAAAACCCGATTTCGGGTCCTAAGATTCATCTTAAGAGGTCTTCCAGGTGCAGGTAAATTTCTCGTAGAGTTGCGAGCTTGGTAATGACGGATAAAATTTCGTACCGTACTCTCTGAGCGGGGGTGTGTCAAGCGAGGGAGGATTTTGGCTACGTGACCAAACTCCTGCCAAAGAGCAACTATTTGGCCTTTTTCAAAGTCAGGTAGGCGACCCTGTCCTTCAGTTCTGTCTTCGTCCGGCATCTCTGTATTGAGCTGTGGTGATTTGAAGTGGGGTCGAAGTTGTGAAAAGTTGGGGTTTGCGGGCATGTTTCATCTACGGGCTTGCTGCTAGCAGGGCGGGCGGGGCAGGGCGGCGTTTGCCGATATGTTGAGCTTATTTGCTCTGTACCGTGGTACCTGGCAGGGTGGAGATAAGTACTCTACTCTAGATAGAGTAGTATGGAGTAGGAGCCTGCTGTGAATCTGTAGACGGGGGCTACTTGTAGTACTCACGGTAACTGCCTTAGTCGTTAAGTTAAATAAGTAAAGTAAATGTACTCTACGGTGCATAGGCTGTTTATGTGAAATTGATCATTGCATGCAGAGGCTAATAATCGATGGACGGAGATCCCCGTACTATGGAGAGCGCAACAGACAGGGCAGGGAACCGGGTACCAGAACGAGATTTGACATTCGCTCTCACCCGAGATTGCGTTGACAGCTTTTTTATTATTATTGTTACTCGTATGGAGAAATCGGTTTTTAGATTGAGATCGTTGCCCACTTCAATTCATCAACACTCAAAAACCCAGTCGCGAAAATCCCCAGCTGCTGGTAAATAAACCATAATGAATTGCGGGACGAGCAAAAAAAAAAAAAAAGGACAGTATTAACTAAAGCCTACAGCTAGCTAGACGCAGCAATTTCAATTCCTCTCTACTCATCCTTGGCCTCCTCGGCCTCCTTGCTACCCTCCTCTACCAGCTTCCCCACAAGCAGGTACTTGCCCTCGAAATGGCTCGCCCACCCGGCCAAGCTCTCCTTCTCCTCATCCGTCAAGTCCTCAAGCTTATCAATCGGTTTATCCAGCGGCGTCAGCACATCCTCATCGAAGCTATTCTTCGCCAACCCTCGTGACGCATCGCGCCCCGCAAAGTTCGAGTACGGCCCGCCGGGGCCATAGAACGACTTTCCGGCCGTGACGTCAAAGACACGACCCTCGACCGCTAGGTAGACGCTCGGCGACTCCGTCCCGTTGTAGGGGCTGAGCGTCTTTGGCGTGAAGGTGCGGAAGACCCGTGGGGCGTCGTGTTTGATGTTTGAGGGCGGCGCGGGGCGGAGGCGGCTGTAGATTATGTAGACGGCCAGGGAGAGGAGGATCAGGTTCACGGGAGTGAAGATTGACAGCCTGGTTCGGTCGCCGCCGAGGTGTTAGTAATGTGGAGCTTCTTGGAGACGGGGGAGAACCTGGGATGGAGACGGACGCTTGTGCCTCTACGGCGGTGGGTTGGTGCGGCATGGTAATGGGTATTTATTTATTTTACTGGCTCAATTCTGTTCTCGGTAAGTGGACGGGATGGTAATAGAGTGGATCCGAAGAGGTGAGAAAGTTGTTGTGGTGGTGGTGGTGGTTGAGGAGGCACTGATGATGGAAGATGAGTTGAGGTTGATTCCGGTGACGTTTATTGGATTACCTAGACCGTAGGTGACAGGTGTTCTGGTTCTGGTTGCTACGCTCTCGGAACGGAGTCAAATGTCTAGAGTTTGTCATCCTAGAACACTTTGTGCCAGGGACGGTGCAATACTAATTGCTAGCGTACCCGAGATCACTGGTAGGGGAATGAATAACGGTGCATGCTACAAGAGAAGAGCTTTGATACAGTGCTCTATAGACATGCATCCAATGCCACAGTGCTTTGCACTTTGCTGCAAATTATAATTATAATTACATTGCATTAATTAACGAGAATTATTAGATGTCTCGGTATCGGTTTGGTCCCTGCCTGTGCAGCAGCACTCTATCACCCGAGTTGAACATCGCCAGTGCCAGAGTGGATCCATCCAGCCAGCAACCGGCAAGTGTTCTTCAGCCCAGCATTGCATGTCAATGATAGTTATTATTGCCCTGAAACGGCTTCGCTTGGCACCAGTTATGTGCTTTGGGGAATAAATAGAGAGGGGCAGCATATTCAGGTATATGTATACAGCTGCTCTCGTGCATTATCACCAGCATCATCATGGCAGTGTTTATCAACATGTGAATCGTATAAAAAGCTTAAAGCCCATGCAGAACGGCCAGGCAGAGCACCAACTAGAACTATCCAGGCCACGCGAGAATAACTCTAAAGCTCAAACACCTGCAGAATGTAGGTACAGGCAGGAACCCTTATCGTCTGGGCTAAACTTGTCACCTCGAGATCTCTCTGAAAATTCCGAGCAGGGTTATCGACATTCTTCGATGGACCACGCAAGGGGGGCGATGTTTCATTCCTTTTTAGAGTACCTAGAAGGGCTGTAACGCCCCCCCTCCCTCGCCTGTCGCTAAACACCCCAAACACCCGACGCCCCGGGATCACCACAATGGCACAACCTCACCCCTGGTCAGCTCATTACTATTCTGAATTGAAGGCATGTACTGGTCTGGTGTTGAAGTGCAACTCGCTGTGTACTGGATAGTAGGCATGCCACGCGGAATTACGCACCAATCTGGTGGAGATTGGAACCTGAGATGCTTGGATGAGCCATTAGTTTTGATAGGCCTGTCTCAACGTCGAAGCTATTCTCTGTCAATTGTATTGGCCGGCTTGGTCGTGGCCGTACGTGTTCTAGAGTCCGAATTGCAGTCAGACAAGTCCGTACCATATATCACATCGTATTCGAGAAACCGGACTCACATGACTGTGCTGCGGTCCCATTTCCCCTTCACTTCCTTTTCATTCCCCCCCGCCCATCCCGCGCGCTTCCCCTCCATGGTAACTACTCTCTACATACATAGGTAGAATTGCATAGCACACATCCCACCGGTAGAATTGATTCCCCAGTCAACCCCAGCAGCGATATTCCAGTACCTGCTCCTCCTCCGTTCTCCTCCTCTCTCCTCCACTAGGGTGCATTACTTTGTTCCCCCCTGCGCCGTGTTTCTATTTTAGAACTCCATCTACTCTACCATTGCCAAAACCACCGAGGGTAAAGCTGGGGAGATCTCTCCTGAATAATAAACCGTGAAGATAATACATAGAAAATCCCAGCTAAAAAAATTCCAAGCAGTCATTTTTCCCAAGGCCTGTTACTTCTGCCCAGTCTACTTATTCCCCGTGACGATCTAAATTTCTCCTTATCCCATCTTTTTTGCACTTTTTTCCCCTTCACTCCCACACACTCTCTCGCACACCCACTCGCAGCACAATACTCGTTCGCACCACACCCTCGGAGAGACCGCAGCAACTTCCTTACTACGAAAAAGGTAAATAAGTGTTTTTTTTCTGGCTAGTAGTAGCCAACCAAACCAAACCAACCAATCATTGTATGTACAACATCACTAACTAGACCATATCTCGGCCACTGTACTGATCAAGAAGAAAGAACGCACTGACAGTTATAAAAAAAGATCGCATACCGGTACCTTATCTCGTCAACTGAACCCTTGACCAGTACATACAGTGCAGTGCAGTGCAGTGCACATCCATCCGACAGGTGATCTAACCCCGGTCCACTGTGGGGAAAGGGAAAACCACCACGTCCATAGGGCAGGGAAAGTTCCGATCGTCTCCTTTAGAGACAAATACAGAAGAAAGGGACAAACATCAGTTCAACTATTCAACACCGGACGTTGTTGTTTCTGTTGGCTACATTCATACCCGCATCTCTACTAGCTCTACTGGACCAGAGCGGTTATCGATTCTCGAAAAAGATATTTTGCTTGGCCTCCCGTGCCGTGTGTCTCTCGCTGTACTATCCCTTGCGTCCCTCACGAGTGCTTGCTGCTAGTAAGGTAAGGGAATAGTTAGGCCGCCGTTAGGATTAACATATCTTGGGTACGTTCGAACGCCTAAGCCCTCCCTTTCTCTCCCCCACCCCCCCTTCTGTGCACTTCCTCGAGTTCTTTGGTCCCTGGACCCTTCTTCTGTTCCCTACACCTACATACCCTACATACCCTCTGCTTTGATTCACTCCCTATTGCTTGTTTTTCTTTCCTTGATTCACTCCCTTCTTTCCTGCACAATCTCATCATTGCATATACTCTACCATTCCCACTTGACTACTACTGCGACTACTTTCAAATCATTCTTGATATTAATCTTAAATCTTTTTTCTTTCTTTCCCTTTCTTCTTACTTGGTACTAAATACCTACTGTAGTGCTGCTGCAATTACAAGTCTTCTTTTTTAATTCCTGGAGTTCTATTTTTGCCCCGTTATCAGAATATTTCTTGATTTCGCCTATTCCCTTAAGCTTGTACAACCCTTTATTTGAACAAAACCCGCCCATCATCAGCATCATCATCATCATCCCGCCTGCATTTAAATTAAACCCATCCCATACATATACATATATCACCGCCCCCCCCCCACCATCCCATACCACATCACCACCCGTAATCACCGTCATCGGTGAACTACATTTTCTTCAGTGAAGAAAAAAAAATTATAAAGGGGGGAATCTCTAGACTAACACCTTCGCCATGACGACGCTCACCAGCACAATCACGACGATGTTCAACAGACTACCCATCTACACGCGGCCCAAGGAGCCGGCAATTGGCTACCCGACGCTGACCGAGAGCACAAACACGCATCTGACGGGGCAGATCTTGGGGCTGGATGGAAGGCCGATACCGCTGCCAAGCATCGGTGGGAACCCGTATACCATTGGGTATAAGATTGCGAGCTTTAAGGGTTTGCCGGACATTCCGAGCGTGTAAGTTGGCACCGTTTTTTTTTTGTCTGTTCGTCACTCTCTATTCTGTGGAGGATGTTCCGTTGGGTTTGGTGTTTGGAAGGTACCTGGTGATCCCTACTGGGGATGGATAGTATGCGCACCATGGACATTGTATTTGTATGGGTGGGCGCGGTCCTGCAGGTTTCGTGTAGATCAGGAACCAACGGTCGTTGCTATCAATTTGATGCTTGAGTGGCATTGAATATCTGTAACTTGTCTACTTGAAACACATACTAACCCTTGGATTTGCGCTCATTATATAGAGGATCCAGCCTGCGCGACGACTCATACGGTTCTTCAGAAGACTCTGAAGAAGAAAGCCTGCGCCCACCCGCCCCTCTGAAAATCAAAAACCTCAGCACTTCCACTGCATCTTCCTCAGAATCAACACTCACCCACAAAAAGACGGAAAGCATGTCATCCTCAAACTCATCCCCGCGCCTGCCCCCACCGCAGCAGCAGCGCAAAGGAATCCACCGCAAGCCCGCCCCGCCTACAAACCCCAACTTCTCCATCAGCGCCAAATCCTCCGCCGAGACGATCCGTGGCAAGTCCACTACTCCAGAAGGAAGCTCACGCAGAGGCTTTGGGCTTGGGAATGTAAAGGAGAAAGTTTCTGGGCGCCGCAGGCCGGTGGAGACCCCATCATACTCGTCGGACCACCACAACAGCGACATCCTGGACCCGCTAGAAGCGCCCTCCCCCATCGCTCTTGCAAAGCCGCCAAACTTTGTCTCGATTGATGACTGGTTGGACACACGTGAGCGGGAAGGCCTCCATAGAAGGAGCAACACCGTCACAACTGTCAACACTGTAGCGACTAGATACAACGACCCCATCCGGCTGCATATCCGCCAGTCCACCTTTGAGCCGCTCCCAACACCGCACGAGCTAGCACTGTCAGAGAGTATCCCATCGATGCCGCAAATTCCGAGCCAGTATAAATCGGCCGTCAGCAAGATCAGCATCCCGAGCGCGCCGCTACCAACCCAGGAGGTCAGGCGCCCAAAGACGCCGCCGCCGCAGCTAGAGGAGGAGGAGGAGAAGAAACCAAGGGGTCATATCGAGCAGCTGGAGTGTGAGCAGGATAAGCTCGCGACGAGACGGTCAGATATCAAGCGCGAGATTTGGGATATCAAGCAGCTGCTGCCGCCGAACCCAAGTACGCATAATAGGAGTGCGAGGGAGGATATGAATAAACGATTGGCAGAGCTTGTCCAGCAACTGGCAGATGTGGAGAAGGAGGTGCATGAGAATGGCATGAAGTTGCACAGGGCCTGGCGAAGGAGGGACAAGAAGATGGGCATTGAGGGACCTACGCACTTGTGGGTTAGTCGTGTCAGGGAGTAAGCCACGCACCGATCATGATTATGGGTGATGGATGAGTGGACTGGGCTAGGCTGGTCGGCTTAGTTGGTATTTTTCGTTTTGTCTTACCATATTTTTTCTTTCTTTTTTCTTTCGCCTTGTGGGCTTTTTTTTTCCCTCTAGAGCATCTTTCTGCCATTTCTCCCCTCGTTGAAGACTTATCATTGATCTGTATATGCCCCTCCACCTCTTGGATATCTTATCTGTGGATAGTTAGCGCCCTTTTTTCCTTTTTCCTTTTCTTATATCTTTTCTTTCGCTTTTGATTATATCCCCTGAGAACGCGGAGTTTATGTGTTGCTGATGGAGTTATTTTTTTGGTCTCTTTTTGGCTTATGTCCCTGGTTGCTACAGCTTCTTACTCGCTATTTTAATACCTTTACTGTGTTATTATATATTCACTCGTTATTTTTAGGTGTTTGGTTTTGCTCGGTCTTGGTTTTTTTTATTTTCTTCTTTATCATACCTTCTTACACCCTCGTTTTTCATTGTATTTAACTACCCGCTCGCTCACTCGCTCTCTTTCTTCTTCATAGAGTAGTAGTTGTAGTATTAGAGCTTTCCATGACTTATTTGCTGTTCGGTTCAGGTTACCTATCCAGGAGGAGGAGAAGGGGGGGAGGAAGGAGGAAGGAGGATGAGGATTATAGGATAGAAAATCCAGGAATGAGATACAGCCATAGTTTATGTGCCCAGTTTTCGTGCATGAATGTGCTTGACACGTATGGAAAACATTCCGGGAGCGGCGTTAAGCATGAGCCAGCGCAGCGGGATTTATTTTAGGCTTGCATTGCAGCATGCACAGAAAACAGGAAACATTCGAATTTCCCCGGGACGGTCGCTGTCAGGCGGATAGGCTGGCCCGAGGAGGGGGTGGAGGAGAGAATATACAGCCGGGTCTGTGGGTGTGGTTGTGCTGAGTGGGCTGGCGTCGTTGGTGGGGTCGAGTGATGGTTGGTGATGGTGATGTGTGGTTGACTGGTCTTACTTATATCGCCTTGGGCGCTGCAGCGGATCGTGCTTGTATTGTCGCATGAAGTATGCCTGGACTTGCAACGAGAAATAACTCTAGAAAGGCTAATAGACTCACCAGTTGAGCGGGCGCACTAGCTGTCCGGAATATGGACACTTGGTGATGGGTGTCCATCATAGCATTCCTTTGACCCTCTTTTCTTAGGCTGTTATCCATATACACTCTCTGGTAATATCAATGCTCTGATTCGCAAGAGATTCTCATTTCCGCTACTGGCGTTACGAAAAGATGGTAGGCGTTGTTGAAGGCAGGAGCGCCGAACTGCAGTGATGCCGGTAGTGATCGATCCCATCCTATGTTAACTCAGGTATATCAACTCAGGTCGGTGGCCAAATACATACATTTCATTGCCAGTGCTGTTTTGGCTTACTTGTCTTCGTCTCATGGACGCCCCCGGGTGGTGCATCGTAGGAGCAGGTTTCTGGGTGCGGAGCTGCCAAAGTCATGGATATATCTGAAGCTTCGAGGTCCAACTATATCGAAGAGAGACTGTTACGGTGGGATATTTGGGGCTATATTATAATATTGTGTAGTGCTAGGGCCATCACTTACAACTTATGATGCTTGAGTTGAGCTAGATTTGTAGCGTCAAGGATCGAGATGTTTCTCGCCTGAAGTTCGGCTGCGTAAACCAGCAAGCTACCGCGTGCAATTAATGAAAGAAAAACCTACCACGTAGTTGGAATGTCAGCAGAAGGACAGAGTACTATGGGAATACACACGTAGTCTTGTGCCTATCCGGCGATCCCTTACAAACAGCTTTTGAATTTTCTTAACACTACTGCAGCTGGGCTTCACGACAACTGCAACAGTAGGGACTGGTGGCATTTTGGCCAGAGTAACAAGGCAATATCGTGGCCTCGCAGCAGCATTCAATTCATATGCAGTAGTGATACTACCCAGTTGTAGTTGCTAAACAGATTGGAAATCGAACAAAAACCTCATGAATGTGGATCACCTACATGTACTAACTACTAAGTACTACTGAGACAGAGCTAACTAATCATGGTGTTGGTACTGCTCCAGCAAAGAATGGCATAGCACGAATCGATCTGCCGGCATGAGTGAGACATGCATATGCCAAGTGTACACCGCGATCGAATACGTACCTGATCCTTAATAATCACTGATCTTCAAGTAATAGGTGGGATGGCACTAGTGGAACATCACAGGCAGGTAACTCTAAATCACTGGTATCTAATAATTCTAAGACCCGACTACAAACACCTCTTGCCCAATGGTCGTAATTGCCGTCCGGCCCTAAGGTTAAGCAGCTGAGATATATCCCGTCGGGCATTCACCCAAAAGTAGAAGTTTGAAGCACTAATACTACTTCAAGAACCCTTACCTCAATCGCATAAGTATCCATCTAATCCTATGTCCCATCGTCTTCAGCTCATCCAAAGTCCTCCACCATGGCTTCCGTTCTGCGTACGTCTAAGTTTGCCGCGATCTTCTTGCATCTCCTCGTTCCCTTCGTAGTATCTCTGAACTTCACAGCATCATCACAGCAAGGCGTTTTACACAATTATGTAAGGATTCCCTGTTCCATATATATATACAAATTACACAAAAGCGATCATGACCTCACTGTGCGGGGGAAAAAGGCGTATCACCTAGTGGCATTTGAACATAACCCTCCAACCTGTACAAACAGCTCAGACCGTGACACCCTACTGTTCATGGGCGGCCTCGGTGAAGGTTTCACCACAGTCCCATATGTTTCCGGGCTTGCAGACGCGCTTGAAGACTGGAGTGTGGTTGAAGTTTTGACCACTTCGTCATACTACGGCTGGGGCATGGGGAGCCTAAAGCGGGATGTCGAGGAGCTTTCTCAAGCCGTGGCTTACATCAAGCAAATTCGCCCCCACGGACGTGTGGTTCTGCTGGGTCACTCCACAGGTAAAGAAAAACACTACCCAAAAATCATTTCCAACTCTAACTTTCCGTGATGCAAAAAAAAAGGCAGCCAAGACGCCATTGAGTACATTTCAAAACCCGCCGCAGGCGCCCCAGACCTCGATGGTGCGATCTTCCAAGCCCCAGTTAGCGACAGGGAAGCAATGCGCTATCTTATGGGAGATGAATCGTATTATGAGGCCCTCGATTTTGTTACGAAATGGGTTGCGGAAGGCTTGGGCGAGGAAATAATCCCAATCAAGTATCGTGGGCCATTTGCAGCTTACCCTATCACTGCTCGTCGATGGTACCTTAACCCTGATCGACCTCACTTGCTTTCTTATATGTAAAGGCTGTGCTGACCTTTTGTAGGTACAGTTTGCTTGTTCCATTAGGTCCCGATGGTATCCCACGAGGTGATGACGATTATTGGTCCTCAGATATCAGTGAGGATGTTGTGAGGTCCGTGTATGAAAGAGTCACAGCTGAAACAAAACTACTCTACCTGTTCTCGGGAGACGATGAGTATATGTCAAGCAGTCTCGATAAAGAAGCGTTGCTTCAAAAGTGGTACCGTGCTGCAGCTGCAGCTGGAGTAACTGTGGATACGGAGAACAGTGGAACAGTGGCTAAAGCAAACCATCGGTACGAGGATGTACCCGAGGGGGTAACTCAAGACCTTTATGGAAGAGTGAAGAGATTCTTGGAGGGGTTAGGTAGCGATTTAAAATAATCGTGGATCAGGTCCTATTACTTTGGGTCTTGGGCTAGGAGCTCGTTTAGTCCTACTGAAACATGGACTTCTTCTACGAGATGCATTCATTCCAGCACGCTGATATCACAATACGAGTGATTGTTCATGATCACAAGGCACTTCTTCTTTATCGTAATTTATTCCGTCTTTTGTAAAGTCCTAAAAGCGTTGCGACACTAAGAACCCTTCCTGTTGTGTTCACAACTCATACGACCAAAAAAGCAAAGAAACAAAATCGATTACCATGTAAAACCCATACTAGCCAGCTATTGTTCTTTTACAACTGGTTGGCAGTGTTGAAGTCAGTCAAGGCCTCCTTGACACGGGCAGTCATGGTCTTCTCTCCCTCACGGACCCAGACGCGGGGACTAGTAAAGTATCTTGTGTTAGATCCCAACACTCATTGGGGGGGATTTATTAAAAGGAAGCTTACTCGAAGTATTTCTTGTTGGGCTTGTCATCACCGTCAGGGTTTCCGACTTGCTGCATCAGGTAATCCTTCTTGTTGAGGACGTAATCACGGATACCAGTCAGGTAGGCGTACCTTTTTACTGGTGAGTAAAAGACTCTATACACTCTCTCATAGCGGAACAACGATAACTTACTGCAAATCGGTGTCCAAGTTGACCTTAATAACACCGTTCTCAATTCCCTGTCTGAACTCCTCCTTGGAGGAACCAGAGCCTCCGTGGAAAACAAGGAACAATGGCTTCTCCTCGGTACCGCCGATCTGCTGCCTGGTGTAGGCCTGGTGCTTTCCGAGGAGCTCGGGGTGGAGCTTGACGTTACCGGGCTTGTACACACCGTGAACGTTTCCGAAGGCGGCAGCGATGGAGAAGTACGGGGAAACAGAGGATAGAGCCTTGTAGACCTCATAAATGTCCTCGGGTTGAGTGTACAGGGCGCTGTTGTCGACATCGGTGTTGTCAACACCATCCTCCTCACCTCCAGTGATTCCAATTTCCTATAATAATAATTAACTAAAGGCTCGTTTAGATTTACTGGATAAAACCACGAACCATCTCAAGCCACTGCTTCATAGGAGCAGCACGCTCGGCGTACTTCTTCGTAATAGCAATGTTCTCTTCCTTCTCCTCCTCAGACAGATCGATCATGTGAGATGAGAAAAGAGGCTCTCCATGCTCAGCGAAGTACTTCTCGTCAGCATCGAGCATTCCGTCCAACCAAGGAAGGAGCTTCTTGGCGCAGTGATCGGTGTGGAGAATAACTGGGATGCCGTATGCTGGGGCGATTGAGCGGATGTAGTGGGCCGCGGCGATGGCACCGGAGATAGAGGCGAATTGGTCAGTGTTGGGGACGCCCTATATAGAAGTTATGAGTTGAATGTTCAATATCTGGAGCGAGTACGATACGAACCTTTCCAGCGAAGTAGGCAGCACCACCCTGAGACATTTGGATGATGATTGGGGACTTTGCATCGCGGGCCGCCTCGAGGGAAGCGACTACCGTTGAGGAAGAAGTGACATTCTATTTGTTATCTGTAAGTTAATAATCCCTCCAACGGTTGTAAAAAAATGGCGAGAGAAAGGAATGAGTAAACTCACGATGGCAGGAATGGCGAACTTGTGCTCCTTGGCATATTTGAAAAGCTATTTTTGCAGATTATAGTCAGAATAATCCGGGTAAAGCAAGTACATGTAGTTATCCAATAACGTGGAGTGAAAACGTTGTATGGCGGGGCATTTAGACTTACGTTCAAGACGTCATCACCAACGATAACACCAGACTTCCTCTTAAGAACTTCGAGAGCACCCATTATGATAATTCTAATAAGGAGAGGAGAAGTGTTAGTTGATGAATTCCCGATCAAAATTTCAAATGGAGATTTTGATTCTTTGAAGAGGAATAGTGGGGCAGCTTGAGAGTATCCTTAAGGCGACAATCCTAGGCAAGTACACAAGGTAAATGAGGGGGTTGATGAAGAGCTCACCTAAATTTGACGAGGGCGAGTCTTTTTCTGTGTTTGTTTGAGCAGTGTTGCTTTGCAGTTGGAAGATGAGGGGGATAGGGTGGTTTATGTAGACGTTGATTTCTCAACAAACGGAGAGAACACCACTTTTATTAATGGCGGGGTTAATTCGCACGGCAGGACAGATAGACAGGGATGTTGGTGGAAGTCTCAGAGATACCGCCTCTGTGGAGTTTTCTTTCTATATGACGTACTGAAAACTTGAAATATCTACAATTATATTTTGCGGCGCATACGGGATGATTGCCGTACTGGCAGTAGTACCCGGCCGAGCCCTTTACTCTTGTTAAAATCGCGAATCGCGATGAATGGAGTACCGATACTTTTTTTCTTATTCCGGTTCGCTGCAAAAACGTAAATGATCCTGCTAAATAACATATACAGCCCCCCACGTGGAGGATGGGTGGGAGGGGAATGGTAAAATATACAGAGAAAGAAAAAAAAGCATCCCACAATCTAATTCTTTTTACATCTCCCTTTCATAAATGCCCGGTTGCATAGATAGATAGCTTTATTTCCCTTTTGACAGCTGACGCTTGCTGGTGATCGTACGCATATCGAAGAGTTTTTATTCCGAGATTCGGCCTTTTTTTTGGTTATGCAGCTCTAAACCTAACCCATTCCCATCTTCTAATGTATTTCCTGCCTCTGGACTGTAGCCCGTCTTCTGACGAAATCATTGGTTCCCTTCATCTTGATTTCAAACTGGTATTCTCCAATCATTTTGATCTTGTCACCATCAACTCCTATCAACTCAATCTGATCAGGTGTGATAACGACCCTCGATCCCTCCTCTCCGTTCGCGGCAGAGACCATTTTAATTGCGTTGGCAATATCAACTGTAGACACCGATCCGTGAAGGGAGTGGTCTGTTGGAGAAATAGTTGCGCTGGAGAACTGGAGGGAGGGGGGGAGCAAAGCCTCGAGGATAGCGATGGTTTGCGTGGGCTATGGTAAATATTAATAACGCTGTGATTATCCTAGGATGGATCGAACGCACAGAAAGGAGAGAAACGGTGGCCCTTTGTTTCTTTTTACCGCCTGTAACAGTGTCGGCGAGAAAGAAGAAGTCTCGTTGGGGGGCTTCACCGCGCGGTATCTTCTTTAGCTCTGTGTAGTGGACATAGTCTGCTACCTTCTGAGGATACCTGGGGAGTGGATTAGTATGTTCTCGGAATTTTCGACATCAGATTGCCATATATAGGGATATGATTGTGCATAGATTCTGCCTCACACAGAAGTGGCATGTTAGACATACCATATGCCTAAAGTCGTCCAGTTAGTAAAAATGGTTCACAAACAAAATTAAGAAGACTCACTCCTCATTCTTCCCTTTGCAACAGGAATCAAGGTCCCTATTATCCCGGACACATCAGAATCTCAGGTCCCCAACAATGAACACATCAGGTAACTGGACGACCATCATACCAGCTGGTCCATATTTTGGCACATCTTTTAGCAGCCTAACCGTGACCGTGGGGACCTTCACCATCTTCTTATTCCCTCGAATTTGCTGGAAGGCACCGCCGGCGAGTTGCCGGATACATGACGGACACTTTGGAGTGCTGAATAACGCCATTGGGACCCTGAATGGCTCTGTGGTAAACTGTTTGTTGGTGGTTGTTCCTGACTAGATTTGCGATTCCGAGAATCTTGGACTAGAGCCGCTTCAACGCGCGGGGTGTGATACATGGGCAACACACATGCCAAAAATCATATATATTATAAAGCGTGCATCATAATAAACGGTGGTAAAGATTTGAGTACCAGCTTTACATCTCACTACAATTTTGTTACTGGAAATAAAACACTGCATTGGAAGAAAAAAAAATGACCGGACCGAACTCTATTATCTTCCGGCTGACAAAGGACTTGCGCACCCCTCCAAGACAAGACATCCTGGGGTGTAGCCCCTCCTCTTTTAGGTGTCTTTACCTACGACTTTGCCCACGCTATCACCCGGTTAGAAAAAGTTGAACAGACATCATCGCCATTCTGTTCTTTTGTTTGTCGTCAACATAACGCAACCACAAAAAAAAACTAAAAGGAGCCTCAATTCAGATACGGGAAAGGAAAGGAATATCGTCAGACATAAACTAAGCAGACCATCAGTCACTTTTCTACTGTACATATCTCAACATAAATTGGCGGTGATGAAAGTCCCTCACTCTCGGCTCTCTTTCTCGCCATAGCTCAGAAACAAGTCCAAAAAGGAATCCGGAATGCCGGCGCCAAATAACAAGCAGCTCACGATCGCCTATGCTGCTGGTGCATCCCTCGCTGCTGTAACCCTCGTCTATGTTTTTGGCCCTACATGGTTTATCGATTCAAACCCTTCCTCATCACAGCGGAAGAAGGGAGTGGTGGGTCTTGTCAACACAGCCAATGACTGCTTTGTATGAATGCACCCACGTCCTACTCAGCCCTATGGACATTCCATTAATCCCATAAACAGATAAATTCAATTCTACAATCCCTTGCAGGACTAGGAGAGCTCAGGGCATATTTGGTCAGACGGACAAGGGCGGCAAAGGCCAACGGGGAATTTATCGAGGGTGATGAAAAACCGTTTCTGACCGCAGCTTTAAAAGATATATTAGATGGTGGGTTTGGATATCAGCGGATTTCGGAGGTGAGAACTGATGAGTTACAGGTCTTAACGAGAGGCCATTATATAGGAAGACGTTATCTGCACGACCTTTTTTGACTGTTCTAGAGAGAGTATTCCGGCAGAGGATTTCCCGCAGCCAACAGGACGCCCACGAATTCTTGCAGGTTGTTGCCGAGACAATAGCGGAGGAATATCATAAGCAGAAAAAGTCAGTGAAAGCAGCAAAAAGAGTAGTGAAGGAAAAGGATTTAGAGGACGAAAAGGCTCACGAGGAGGAGGAAGAGGCGGAGGAGAGAAATATTCTCCTCAATGTGGGTGAGGCTGATGGGGAGAAAGTAGAAGAGGAAGAGGATGGGGTCATCATTAATGTGGAACATTCGGATTCAAATTTAGATGACGAGACAGAAGACGAAGCCGGGATGCCACTTGAGGGGAAAGTTGAATCGGAGATAGAGTGTCAGAAATGCCACTTCAAGCCAAAACCTACAGTTTCCACATTCGTCGTTTTGACATTACCGGTTCCTCAAAAGGTGCGTTGAATCTACTTTTATCGAATTTCTTTAGCATGAGCAATACTCTAATAGTCTCTTTACAGAGTAGTACAACCCTCTCAGACTGCATTAAGGGTGTTCTCTCCACAGAGTACATAGACGATTTCCAATGCGCAAAATGCAGACTTGAACATGCCATAGCAACCCTAACCCGTAAAATTGCAAGTACACCTGTCACAAAGCAAGAAAAGATTCAAGAGATAATCGACACTCTCCGACAAACTCTTGAAAAAGATCCTGAAAAAATTCCTGAGGGAATCGATATACCACCATCTTCCTCGGCCCCCAAATCCCGTATAGCTCGTAGGACCCGCATGTCGTCCCACCCCCGAATTCTCGCTCTCCATCTCTCCCGCTCTATCTACGAGGGTTATTCATCGTCGAGAAAGAATAGTGCTCGGGTTTCATTCCCAGAAACCTTGCAGATGGGCGGTATCATGGAGAAGCATGAATATAAACTTCTCTGCATGGTGACACACAAGGGCGGCCACGAGAGTGGGCATTATGAATGCTTTAGGAGGCAGATTGTGTCCCCGCCGCCCTATTCCACACCTACGCCCACACTTGCACCTTCTACCCCTGCAGCAAGTGGTCAAGCGTCACCGATTGGTGGTTCGACTCCAGGATCCACCGTTCGATTGGTAGACCCAAGGGAACCGGGCGTAGACTCCCCTTCCTTATCACCTTATGCTGCATCGTCCAATATTCTACCCTCGGATGCATCGTCCAATTTATCAAGCTCGGATTCAAAATCTACACCGTCCCCTTCTCTGTTGACACCCGATATTTCTTCTATCCCGGAGGCTGGCCCGGGAACCGCAGCAGATAGTGCTTTTGAAAAAAAGGCCCATGTTCCGAATAAAGTCAGAAAGAAGCACGGCAATAATAAGTGGTGGCGCATAAGCGACGACAAGATCAGAGAGACGAAAACTGGGGACGTCCTTGGTATGCAAAAGGAGGTCTATTTGCTATTTTATGAAGAGCAGAAACCGGAATAAATTTTATCAGCATACTGCATAAAACAAAACGAATACCATTTTATACGTCGATTTTTTTCTATCTTTTACTATTTATGCTTCATTCATAATGTGGGAACTGTAGAGTACTGCTAGAAGTACGGATGGGCATTGTTTGGTTTAGAGGCATTTTTCCACTGGTCACTCAGGGTTTGGCTTAAACGTGATAGTAGGCTTTGGAAGAAAGAACATCGACATCATAGGGGACTCATCAGGTATTATGGGTTTTGTTTTATCCTTTAATCCCCTCTCCCTTGGCTTGGAAAAGACGTTAGATTATGGAAAATTTGACATCCAGTTTTTTACTGTACAGTATCATAGCATGGCAATATTTCCTCAGAGAAACACATTCATATTTCAATTCTGGGCTACGTTGCCGATGTTCTACAATGCATTCGCAATATTTGCGAACATCATGATATCAGGTCGAGCAACTTTTTTTATTACCCTTCAAAAAAAAGATAACTTTAACTTGAACCTCGCTATTAAGCGCCTGGCACATTGAAATCCAAAGGGAAAAAGGGGGGAGAGGGAATCCGAACATTAGAGATTCATTTAAGAAATACACGGGTTATACCATTTACAAAACAAAGATGCTGCTTTTTAATACTGCAGCTCCAGTCTGATATAGTCAGATACTACGGGCAATTTTTTTCTTTCCAGTTTTAAACTCCTGGACATGAGGACATCAGCTATGGCTCTTGCTTGCTATGAATTTTGACTGATAATAATGGTCGATGGTTAGCCTACCTACCAGAAATCAGATTGCGGTCACCAGGACGGACAATCTAGGCCTTTGAACGAGTCCTTTGTGATATTTTCTCCGCACCGCCTGCACCGGTTTCAAGTTTTGCTGCCTCCTCTTTTTTCCTCGCTTCGATTTCGGATTTCTTGGGGCGACCTGGTCCACGCTTCTTTGGTGCAGGAGACTTCTCGGCGTCACCTGAGTCGGCTTCTTCGGACTTCTTTGAATCTCCGTTGCCGTTCTTTTCCTTGGCGTTTTCGTCGTGGAGCTTGGGCTTCTTAGCTTCCTTGCCGGTCTCTTTCTCGACTTCCAGTTGCTCTTCGGCCGGTGATTTGCCATTACCATCAACGTCGGCCTCCGAGCGGTCTCGCTTCTCGCCAGCCTCGGCTTCCTTCTTTTCGGCTGCCGCTTCTTTCGCTTCTTTCGCTTCTTTCGCTTCTTTCGCTTCTTTAGTCTCTCTCGCTTCTTTCGCTTCTTTAGCGGCCGTCTTCTTGTCTTTCTTCTCGGCAGGAGCTGCAGACGACTCCTTGGTGAGCTCGCTTGCACGCTTAACAACGTCGTTGCCTTCACGCTCTACGTGCACTGCAGGGTTGTCAGGGTCAGCGTTCTTGTGTACTCGTTTACCCTTCGATACGATCTCGAGGGAGCCGTGGTTCTTGATCTCGGCAACGGTCCCCGAAGGATGACCAGAGCCCCAATTCCAGGTGACTGGATTCGGGGGGCTTTATGAGCACCAATCCCTCTCTTTTTGCGAGTCAATTTATGGAAATATCAGAGGGGTCCTACCTTCATCGCCCTTCTTGATGCTCTTATCAGTCATTTTGGAGTATGGAGGGATTTTTGTTTTTGTATGTGAGAGGTGAGGTTGGTTGAGTAGTTTACGTTTGAGTAATACAAATAAGTAGATGGAAGCTCAATGAGAACTGAAATACGATGGAAAAATTGCTAGGTGTTTGGATTGGAAGAAGGAGGAAGAAGGTATAAAAGTGTGATGGAAAGGAGAGCGAGGAATGGCTCTCTTAAATAAATTCAGGACAACGTGCAATAGACTATCTAAGCAATGACGCGCAATAATCAATTTTGGGGGAAGGACGGGGGGAACCATAAAGTTGGCTGATGCATTTTTCGTTCAACTTTGGCCGCCGCCTTCCATAGCAGCATCCATACCCCCCAGGGGAGAGAGCGAGGCAAGGTCAGGTACATACCTACATTCTAATGGATCAGCAAAATACCCCAACAAAGTAACCTCATATAATACTCAATTGTCGTACACCCGCCCCCTCCCTTTCGCGAAAGCAGGTAAAATGGAGAGACAGACCCCCCCTCCCCTTTGAATACATGTACTTATTTGATACAGGTAGTACCGGAAGACGGGGAACTTTATTTATGGGGGTGTACTTTATGTAGGTATGTAATGTATCTTAGGTGCGAGGTAAGGCAGGTGCGGTTACCTACATTTGGCGCAAAGCAAAAAAAAAAAAAAAAAAAGAAATAGCGGCTGCAAACCAGACTGTGGGGATGAATATCAATGGGGGGATAATGTGCGACACAATTAGTAGTATGGCTGCATCCAGAAAGAGCTGAACTTTCAGTGGTGGGAGCTTCAATAAAACGGCAAAATTAACACGGGGCTAAGATAAGAGGCTATTGGCTGTATTGGGTTATAATACATTGAATGTTTCTACCGACTTCTATGAGATTGAGACAGAAAATTAGTGGGAGAGGTTTCAATAATAAGTAGCAATTGGGTGTTTATGCTTCACGAGAAATTAGACGGCAGTTGGCAGGTCAAAGTAGGCCAATTTTCTAAAGGCGCAAGGAGCGATAAAGCATGGTTGTGGTAACCGATCCTTGATCGATCCATGAGGCTGTTAATGGTAACTCATAAGAACATATTTCGTGCATCAGATTCTCTACTTCCCGGTTAGAAACTCTGTGACGCAGGAGAAGAAACCAGAACACGGGGCGCGGGCACAGGGTATAGGGTATGGGGCTTAGGGTTTCTAGCAAATCTCCGCGGTTCCATAAAGCACGAGCCCGTAGTGCAAAAAACTATTTATATTGGAGTTGGAGACGGATTTCTTTGGGTGCGCACCAGCAGATAATTTCTTTCAACATGTATATTGAGAAAGAGCGAGTTAACTGTTTGTAGATGCGATATGTACTTCCACCCCTAACCCTCACCTCGCCTAGCTGTCGACTGCTGTTTAGGGATGAAGAGGAGGAAATCAAGGTTATCCCCCCAGGATCTCTTGGCACCTGCGTTTGCGCAATGCGCATAAACCACACCCAGGGTTCCAAGATTCCGGGGACATTCCACCGTGTCCGTGCCCATTAATTGATCTTGATCCATTTTGGAGAACGAAACTGCCTCAATTATCACCTATCAGTAAGCTCTAGAGCTCGGGGGTGCCTAATATACACAACTTTCCAGCGATTCCCATCTTGACGATGCTTATTGTGATCGGGGCTGGTCCGGGGGTTGAACCCAGTTCGGTGCACGAGGCTCTTTCGACATGTTGTTTAAAGCTAAAGACTTGATACCATGTACCTACCGTTCTGCCAACACCATCTCTCCAAACTTAGAGTATGGAAGCGAGGTCACCAATAGCAGCTGTGTGGGAAACAGGGCGCTGGGGCTGTTCTTGGAGTAAGCCATCGACAGCGTAACTCATTTGTAGTTATGTGTGTGTGTCTTATGGGTGCATAAGTGATTCATGCCATACTATGGAGAGAGCTCTATTCTTCAGAGGTACTGGCATTATCTAAGCTGTGGATACATCTAGCCATACTAAACAGGCCTCCACCGAAGTCTGTGGTTAGTCGTCCCTTACAGTAGAGAGATTGAGAGTAGAGTAGCATGTACCTACATATATAGCCTTCTTAGGCATTGAGTTGGTTTCATCTGTATTGTAGTTGCGCAATACCGGTTTCACCCCACTACATGTATGTACATCAGCAGAGTACAAGTACATACATGTACATGTACATATACGCAAAGTAAATGCCAGCTAGAATGATCAATTAGACCTTTGAAACTGTTGAATTCAAACCTTTACGGAGATGGCAATCGAGATATCGGTGCTGGCTATCGGGGATGTTCAATCAAAATCATGTAGCCTTTTACTGAAGGACAAGGTCACCCGCCACTTGTCCTTCCTCCATCCATCCCTCTCTTCCAATGTTCATCTCTCTTCAGCTTTTTGATCTCACACCCTCCTCAAGCCCGGACTGCTTTGCTGTACAAAAAAAGAGCATACATACATATGTAGATTAGACACATACATGATATCGTAGAGCTGTTTCAATGGATGCCAACCAAAGTGGCGGGGTCAGACGGCCGTAAGTTACGTAACCAGAATGTACTTACATTCAGAATTACAACGTCGGAGAGAGTGAACCCTAGCCACAGATTAGTCCATTAGCAGCGCACCGTAAGCCAGGCAGACGTTGGTTGCGTGTGTGTGCACAGTGCAACAGCCCCGGTCACCCCTTCTCCAGCCCCAAGAGAACACTCAGAAAGAGTAGTCCTCCCCCATTATCGTCAATCCGTCCAGATCCTCTTTAGAACACCACCTCCACCACCTCTACCTCCCCCCTCGACCGTCCCCCTTTCATCTCCATTACACCTCCATCTTCTCAATCTGATCCCTCATTCACCAAATATTTTGTCAGCATCGTCGGTCTTCATCGGTCGGTGCTCTCGCTAATTTCATTTTTCGAACCCTCTATCCGGGTTTCGCCTTTTTGGCATTCTATTCTTACTGTCCGTGCTCATCCCATCAATCAATCTGCTGCTTCCTCCATCTATCTATCTATATTTTCCTTTCTTGCTACAGAGGCTCGGCTAGGAGCCTCTTTCAAACTTCATCTTTTCATACCATATCATTTGGTATTATATTCTAACTAAGTTTATTACAGTCTCACACACATGTCTGAAGTTCATCCACGTATCCCCTATACCCCTCGTGGCGGCGGTGGTAGGGGTGCTAGTCGGGGCGGCCGTAGCGGTTCTACTGGCACCCGGGGCGGATCAGCCCGTTCAGTCCGTAACTTAAATGGCGACATCAATACACCTTACAGCAACGAAGATGAAGGTCAATTGAAGACGAAATACCCCAAAGCACTGTTACAACTGGAAGAGATGTTCGAGAACCAGGCTTCTGAAGACCTCATCTCCATTCTAGAAGAGTGCGATGGTGATCCTAATATTGCAGCAGATAGGCTAGCTGAGGGTCCGTTCTCCTATCTTCAAGCTCTTCTTTTACATGTTCACTATCTTCCCGCTGCTTTGCGGCTCTTGTTGTGTAACCTTGTGTAGCAGCCTAGCTAAAATATATATTTATGCTTGTTCAGGTCGGGCCCGCCAGTGGGTGGTACAGGGGGGCCATAAACCTCGTCCTAGCCCCAAGCCTAAGGCTTACGACCGCGCATCAACTGGAGCTGCCACTGATTCTGGTCGTGGTCCTCGTGCGAGGGGCAACTCTGAGGCTGGCCGCTCTCGTGGCCGAGTAACAGGGCCGGAGAACCGCAATAACCCAAGCCGTGCACGCCCCGGACCCCCCCCTCCAAACGGTGTCGCACGTCAACCCGAAGACTTGGGCGGGTGGTCTGCCGTTGGGGAGACTGTTCCGACAACTGAAGCTGAGAGCACAGGGGACGCAAAGAAGAAGCCCGATTCCAGTGTAACTTCACCTCCAACAACCACTAAAGCTGCCCCATGGACCAGCCTTTTCAAACCTGCTCCTACTCCTGCACCGGTACCGAAAAGGGTCCCCAAACCAGTTTCTCTTCCACCTGCGCCTACTCCTGCGCCTGAAACAAAAGCTGCTCCAGAACCAAAAGTGCCCGAATCTAATGTCGAAGCTGTCCCACCTCAAGAGCCCACAACTGAGCCGCTTGCCGAACCTTCTGCGCCTCAAGTCGAAGCTCCAGTTATCACTCCCGTCGCAGAGCCAGACCCAGAGCCAGAAGTAAAACCCGAGGTCCCCTCGGTGGTCCCTGCAGTTCCACCAATTCCAGTAACCTTAGTAACGCCAGCAGTTCCAGTAGCTCCTGCGGTCCCAGCTACACCAGCAGCTTCAGAAAGCCCAGTGGCTCCCATAGCTCCCGAAGCTCCCGCAGCTCCCGCAGCTCCAGAAACACCAGTAGCTCCAGAAACCCCCGAAGTTATTGAGACTATCCCCTCCCCCCAGCCTCAACAGCCACTTACAGAAGACAATTTGGAAAAAATTGAGGATGTTGCCCCACCTGCTCCAACAGGTACCCAGGCAAGCACAATCGCGTCACCTGCGCCTACTCCTAGTGCTATTGGTGTCAGCATTGCACCCCCACCCACCCAGCCCGTAGCAACAACACCTAGGACTGCGTATGCCGTGGCTATACCGAAAAACACCCCAAGATCAAAGTACCGGACCTTAACACAACAGGAACCTGTCATTATGCCCAGTCCTATAACTCATAACGCAGTAGAGCACCCAACCCTTCAATTCGGCAGTATGGGTCTTGGTGATGAAGATGGCGATGAAGCTGAGCCAGTCGAGACTGTGTCGCAACCTGAGCAGCCGTCTCAAATTGCTCAGCCAATTTCTGCACTTCCTCCGACTGGCCCTGCCCAGGCTCCAGTCTCTCAGCCACCCGTTACGGATGCACTTCCCACCCCTCGACAGGCCCCTGGACTACCTGTGCACCCCCAGGTTGCCCCTCAGCAACCTAGCCCGCAGCCGCCCCTCGCCCCCCAGAGTATGACGCAACAGCACCTAAACCAGCATATGCAATACAATCGCTACGAAATTCCTAATCCCCAACAACAGCCTCAAACCAAGCCATTCGACACTTTTGGACCACCCGCACAACAGCAACCAGCACCCCAACCTCAAAACCAACCACAACAATCACAGGTGCAACCACCTCACAGTCAACCTCAAACCTACACTGGCTATGCTTACTCCCAATTGCAGCCTCATCAACAGCCTTCGCATATTAGTGTAGGTCTTTCAACAACCCCAGACCACCAGTACAATAACTACTACGATCGCACCCAGCCTCCTGGATTTGGAAATCTTTATAACTCCACTTACATGCAGCAAGGTCAGTCTCAGCAAGATGCTGGCGCAAACCAACAACGTGCTTCAAGCGGTCTTGGTGGTGCTGGAGAAGCTCTTGGTCAAGTTCCCACCTCAGCGCCTGTGTCCGGCCAAGTACAGCAACCCACTTCAAGATACGGCGCGCAGACCGGGGAGCAATCTAGTGGGCATGGAACTCCAAGCCCAGCAATCACTGCTGCTCAGCAGACATCTCAGCCCCACCAGCCAGGTCTAGCTCAATATCCTGGAGGAATGCCGTCGTACGGATACCAGCAGCACCCCTACTACAGTCAATTTATGCATCAGGTATGAATGTCTTCATTGAAAATAATCTAACAACACTGACTTAAAGGTGTTACAGAGTTATTACAACCACCCCAATCCTTTCGGAAAGCACCAGGGAATGTATGGATATCCTCAGGCCTATATGTCTCCTCAATACTCAGATCATTCCTCGAGCCCAGCGGGCCTTGGTGGGTTTGGTACACCTTCGACACAGGGTCGTGAAAGTGTTGGACTTGGCGACTACGGTCGCATGAATGCAACTGCATCGCAGCAACAGCAGCAACAGCAGTCACTTCCGCAGCACTCATCAGCCGGTGCCTACGGTAACAGCAACGCCATACCAAACTTTCTGGGCAGTCGTGGTTTGCCTGAGCAGCAGCAACTTGGCAGCGGCGTTGGTCAACAACAAGTTACCCAGCAAGCCCAAAACGATGATTCTATGAAGTTTGGTGAAAACAAGCCCCCGACTGGCCCCTCATCCACCCCGTCGATCCAAGGACAGCCTGGAAGACCGGGATCAGCTACCAGTGGCGCAAATATGGGGCCACAGCACGGAGCACAGACCCCAGGAAGCATGTATGGTGGTACCCATTTGAACCATAACTTGCACCAAGCCCAGCAGAGCCAGTATGGCGTTGGGCAGGGCCAGACTGCTACAAGCCAGTATTCCATGTATGGGCACCCCCATTACGGACAGTCTACTCAGAGGCACAACAACGCCGGTGGTTGGGGTACTGGGTATAGTCACTAGGTATTCTGTACGAAGTGATTAGCAGTTATTTTTTTCACGAAATGACGAGCATGATGCGAAAATGATGATGTATCATGGGGTAATTTCTCTACCTTCAGTGATGTGGGCCGAGCTGTGATGGGTCTCTTCTGTTTTTTTCACTTCTTTGTTATATCGTCAACTATTTCTTTTTAGTTTCTTGGTCATCTTTGGTTTGGTTTGGTATTCGTTTTTCCAGCTAGGGGGCAGTTAGGGGTAGTTATGCATTATTACCTTTCTTTCTTGTGGATCTTTTTTTTCGTTACCGAGGGGTTATTACCTTTTTGTATTCGCATCTCTTTTTCAATTTTTCCTTTCCACTACGTTGCTTCCTCTGATGGGATGGTATGACTCAATCTACCCATTCATATTGTCAATCGGTTCTTCATACTATTTCTGGGGTTGGGCGGCACAAAAAAATTCAAATCAATAAGGGCTGGGGGGGGTCTGCGGGTTTTTTCTGCTTTCAATTCTTCTTTGGGTGCGCCGAGGTTGTCTTTTGCGTTCCCGTACTTTCAAAAAGGAAAAAATGGAGTTGCCTGTTTATTTCTCCTTCCTTTGCAACATTCTTGATCAGATCTTGCATCTTCGTGATAGATGAACGAGTGCCGAATGAGCATTGCAATGCTCATTTGGCAGTAAATACATGTATTTCTGGTATTCCGAGTACATATAGCGTAAACTTGTGTTTTTGTCTCGATCTCACCATCATGCTCACGTGAATATACATGTGTGGAAAGGGTTTAAAATGACAGCTTTCGGTACACTTGATGTATGATGACACATAGTGCGAGATATCACTTCTTTAGCCAACTTTAAACGGCAGAAATCCCTTTTTATCTTGTAACTACATGTAGGGACCCACCTAAGAAGTATTAGAAGTATAAAAACCCGTAACTACATGTAATCACCGAATAAGATAAGAATTCGAACTGCCCCTTAAAACACGCAACATTGCGCTGTTGCCTGATGAAAACAAATTCGGGAGTCGCTTGAACGATAAAGACGGTTCGTTCTATGAATGTTGAACTTTCTCTCTTTGGATTGTGGTAGTGTCAATTTAGATCATAGAATTGTGTTATTTTACGTCATGTGTTATTTTACATCAGGCGTTTCGAAAGTTGTATCATTGTAGTAGACCCCTAGGCCTTTCGGCATATTAATACGTATGTATGTATTGAGAAATTTGGTCATGCTAGAACATTTCAGAGGTATATGATCGTATGGCATATAATTGAAGTTATAAATGTCTATATTAAGCAAAATCATGGGACACGCTTAGTGGGGGCATTGGACCCTTAGATAGTGTTCTACGCTGTATAAGAGGGGGTGAGTGAGAATTGGTGCAAATGTGACCATGGTAAGCAAAAGAGGTCGCGTGCCGGTAGCGCTACACAACCACGTAAATAGGCAAAATTTGATACGAGCACCAAGCATTCAAAGTCTATTCCTGGAGCACAGGATGGAGAAATGATCAGCTCCCCTCCGTTATTTGGTAAAATTTGTACATGGGCGGCGAAATGGGCAGACAAAACTACAAATAAGCTGTTGAGTAATCCAGTCGACAAAGGAGGTCAATATCGATAGTCATCACTTTAAGCTGCTGTGTAAGACGTCGAATTTCTTATGTTGACTAACCTGGGATTGTCGTGTTTAAATACATGTAATCCCGAAGCATGGTTGAAACTGCCACGTATGGTGGAGGAGCTTAAAGACGACGTCCTTTTGGCGAAAAGTTTGTCCAGGGTTCAGAATACTAGGGTCTCTGCAAAACCTGGGAAGAAAGATATTTGCCCATGGGTCTTTCCTGCATGTTTACGGCGCCACACCTGCCCAACCAGGCGGAGATTTTTCGGCCAAAGAGTTGCGGACGTCGTGTCTATTTGTGAACAAGCTTCCTGTTGTGGAGGGGGAGATCTGGAGGAGTGCACCGAGCTGAGCTGAGCGGTTGATTAGATTAAAGCTCTCGGATATGTTTAATCTTGTTCTTCTCCGGGATTTTCGGATTTGGGAAACGAAATGTTGCTCATATCAAGACCTAGGTGGGAGCTCAGATAACAGAGCGTAAAAGTCATGGCAAGCCTCCCGTGGTGCGTAATCAGTTGCTCGAGTCAACCTGGCTGAAAATAACCATAATATTGTCCGAGGATGCAACATAAACCATCCTGAATCACCGAGGAAGTAGAAAAAGACCCGGTGGCTTTCTGAGCGGGGGATCTTGACTTGATAATTTAAAGAGTCTTTTTATGTGCCGTTGTTCTAGTGTTTCCACAGTATATCTAGGAACGGTAGATCTGGCACGGTAATGTACATATCCACGGTGTACATCGATGTTGCGTACATCGATGTCTGGAGTACACCGTAAACGGTGCCGGTGGACCCTGACCGTTGCTTTCTGGAAGGCTGGAACCCCAACAGCGCCTAACTACATAAGGAAAACTTCCCTGAAGTAAGGCTACCGATGCGACAAAGGGCAGTTTCAACGTCCTTGCATCTCAACTCTGCACATTGTCCCTGAACCGTTTGCGAGATCTGTTGCCTCAGTGGATGGAAAAAAAGAGAGCTCTGAATATTTAAACATGACATAATAAGACCAATCCCTTCGAGAAAAGCTCTGGAGAACGTTTGATGAGCCGCCACAGGCCTGGAAGATCTCTTTCTGGTGTGGATGCCCAGGGATCCTCCCGATGGCCGAGACAGCTGGTGTTTCCCAAAATAGTGGATCCGTACAGGACAGGGGGTAAGGAGAGGTAGGGATTTCCGGGTGGAAATCTTGAAAGGACCAAAAGGATGCCGTAATCCTTCTCTTGGGCTTGTTTCTCCAGGTTCTTGGACAGAGAGTGTGAGTGACAGACCTCTCTATCTAATCTCTGCCAATGGTTGGAGAGAGACTCTCGTCTTATCCTTCTTTCATTCGTTCTTCTATCCCTTTCTATTGTTTGTCACTCACAATTGAAAGGGAACATTCTCTCCTTAACTCCCAATAGCTCCCATCAGCTTCCCGAATTAGCCGGTCTACCTACTGCTCTCCCCCCACTACTTTCCCTCTTTTCTTTTTTCTAAACTCTTGTGATCTTGGGAGCCACTGCAGCTTTGTGCGGGCCAGGAAAAAACATTCCTTGTTGAGAAAAGGGAAACCTTGAAGTGGGCGTCACACGACACGACGTACCCAGCTCCGGTTTTTTTTGACAGGACATAATAGCCACACTGCAGGGCTGTATTACTTTCGGCAGCCACCACCTCCGTCACAACTTGCGTTAAATATCTGCCCATCCTCGCCAAACTTGCACTTACACTCCCCCACAAATATCTAGCACTCGCAACATTCGTTTTCTTGTCTACGCCTCACCTAGCCTCCGTCTCAACTTTTTGAGACTCGTCATTCGTTTTTTCAGTCATTCGTTACTACTGTGCGCAATATGGGTACCTGTCTAGTTGACGGTGTTAATCACCTATTCCGGCGTGAAATGGACCAGAAGCTTTCGTTGTTCCTTAACATGGTTCAGTCTCCCTTCCGGCAGGAATTCAGTACAGACGCTTTCTTTGCGTCTTTGGGATCGTCTTTGGGAATATCAGCAGCGATACTATTAGCATGGTGTTTAGTCAGACCCTATAACTCTGTCGTTTACGCTCCAAAACTACGGAATGCAGACGAGAAGCACGCGCCCCCGCGGATAGAGAAGGGATACTTTGCATGGCTTACGCCACTATTGAAATGCCACGAGGCGGATCTCCTACCAAAGCTCGGGCTTGATGCCATCGTCTTTCTGAGGTTCTTACGAATGTGCCGAAACATATTTTTTGTCTTGGCCATTCTTGGTTGCGCGGTCATGATTCCAGTCAACGTCAGCTGTAACCTAAAGAATTCTTGGACAGATGTAAATGGGACTTCGAGCTCGAGAAAGTGGTTTGTCCTTATGAGCCCTAACTACACTTGGGGCAATTGCATGTGGGCCCATGTCATCGTCGCTTGGGTCTTCAACTTTATCATTATGTACTTCCTATACACAAATTATGCCGCTATTACAACTATGCGTAAGAATTTCTTCGAGACTCCCGAGTACCAGGCGTCACTTCATTCGAGAACATTGATGGTACGCTCCATGTTTGGCTGGTTGCTAATCAGTGAAACCAAGCTGACAATATGGTATTAGATCACGGATATCCCAAGCTCATATCGTTCCGATGATGGCCTTGGCAAGATAATTGGAACACTCAGTGTTCCTCACCATGGTGACGAGAGATGCGCTATAGGGAGAAACGTCAAGGATCTTCCGGAGCTTATTGACGAACATGGGCAAGCTGTCAGAAAGCTTGAAGGGTTTCTTGCAAAATACTTGAAGAATCCCGATAACCTCCCTGCAAGAAGACCTGTTTGTAAGCCGCATAAAAATGATAAATCGGTCCCACAGGATTCGGATGTGGATGCTATCGAATATCTTGGTCAGAGGATCAAAGATTTGGAGAAGCACATTTATGCCATCCGGGATACAATCGACAAACGGGATGCTCTGCAATATGGATTTGTGTCGTTTCCAACGATCTCAAGGGCTCATATAGCTGCCAAGGCCACTCGAGGGAAGCACCCTAAGGGCACTACTATCAAATTAGCCCCGAGGCCTAATGATATCATTTGGGATAACTTGACGTACGTGCTTATCTTGTGCCCGTAATATAGCAATAGTAACTGATATATAATAGTCGCTCAAAGAGTGCAAGGCGTGGGAACAAGATGATTGGAAATTTCCTTTTCGTAATGCTTTCAATCCTCTTCGTAATACCCAATGCTCTTATTGCGGTGTTTCTGTCGAATCTTCACAATATTGCAGCTGTAAGAAATCCTTTGCGATGTGAGTGGACGTTTAATGATCCTAACACATAATAGATTTGGTTTGAGTTTTCGGTATATTTGAACCAACATTACAAAGCATTCGCTATAGTGTATGTAACCGCTTTCCTAATCGCCATTGGAGTTTGATGCTTACAGAAACGGAATTGTCCTAAATAGTCAGGGTTTCCTTGCACCGACTATTACATCAATTATTTATCTACTTCTTCCCATTGTTATGAGACGTATCTCAGCATGGCAGGGCGATGTCACGAAAGCTTCTCGTGAGCGGCATGTCACCAGCAAGCTGTACTTCTTCTTTGTGGTCAATAATTTGATCATCTTCACTTTGTTCGGAGTGAGTACTTATTGTCCATTTTGAAATATGAAATTACTAATTTGAGGGGAGGGCAGACTCTCTGGACCACCATTCAAACTTTGGTTACAATTTCGGATACTGCGGGGCTTACCTGGGACGCTGTCAAGAGTATTGGGATAGCAACGAAAATTGCTATCGCCATGTTCGACGTCTCGACATTCTGGATAACCTATCTCTTACAAAGAAATCTTGGCGCCATTCTGGATATTGCACAGCTAGTCTCATTAGTCTCGAAAAGTCTTTACAGGCGATTTGCATCCCCAACCCCAAGGCAGATGATTGAGTGGACTGCTCCGCCTGCGTTCGAGTATGCAACATATTACAACTACTTCCTTTTCTACGCCACGATTGGCTTGGTATTTTCGACAATCCAGCCTATCGTCCTTCCGATCGCATTTATATACTTTTTGGTTGATAGCTTTCTCAAGAAATACTGTCTCATGTATATATTCGTTACCAAGGTTGAGAGTGACGGGTCGTTTTGGAGATTACTCTTCAACAGGTTCTTATTTGCAACTGGCTTTTTCAATATCGTGGTAGCTCTAGTTGTCTGGGTAAGTTTGCGATCCATTCCACGTTTGCTTATCCGTAACTAATGGTACGTAGGTACGATACACCTCCCAAGCAGCGTTTTGCGTACTTCCTTTGATTGCATTCTTGATTGGATTCAAGTTTTATTGCCGCAGAGTCTTTGATGTTCAAATTCGTTATCATACCAAGGGTACAGACCGGGAGAGTATGATTAGTGCAGGCAAATTCACACGTAAAGACAAATTAGACAAGAGATATGGCCATCCTGCACTTTGGCGCCCCTTGATTACACCAATGGTAGACGCCAAGGCGAAGCACGTTTTGAGCCAGGTTTACTACGGCAGAATCAACTCGGAGCAGCACAAATCAACCTATGGAGACGTCGGGTTGAGTCTCATGCAGCCAGGACAGGCAGGGAGAAGACAACAAGACCCACTTGCTCACCAATTTGAGATGGTCGATGAGGCAGACATGGACTTTCAGAATTTCAAGCATCGCGCCGAATTCGCATCTGAGCACGGCGGAAGCAATGCATATGGGCCTAATTTTGATGCATACAGCGACGCTGGAACATTTACCCCACCACCTGGATTCCAGTCGCCGGCAAGTTCCAGACCTGGTACCCCCACCGGAAGACCAAATCCTAGTCCCTTGTCATTATCCATGATAGGGTCGGACTACCAACAGGTTCCCAATCCTGCGCCTCCAAGTTTTCGTGCGCAGAAACGCTCCGAGAGCCCATATCTTGGCGACAGAGTCAGCATGATGAGTCCAGATGGAGGAGAAGCCACGGTGGATTGGAGCATACATGACGGTCGCAGCGAAACGGGCTCAGTTACACATCTCTTGAAGGATCAAGGGCAGCATCACTACGTACCTGGGCCATCTTCGCGGCGAGGCCCTCAATATCCACAACAGCCTTACGATCATGAAGAATACAGGGGGGTTCCGAGGCGGTAAATGGACATATCCATTTTTATCGGCTGGAAGTTTTTAGATGAGATATTAGCATGTAGCATTTGGCTTTCGTTAATTTTCTGATTTCGAAGGGCAATTAGCCTCAAAATACCCCTTGTCTTTCTTTTCTCCACAAGATTGTTGGCATTAGGGTATCGTTTTTCTTTTTTGGTTGCGGCTTATTTTTTTTATTTATTTTGTATAGAGTTTTGGGCCACTAGGGTGTTTTTTTTTTATATTATTCTTGTATCATGCATGGCTTTCTTTGTCTTTGGGTAGGTGTTGCTTCCGGGGGTCTTTGGTGCATCTGTAAACTATCACGAACCATTGGTTTTTCGTATAAATAATCGGGATCTGTGTTATAATCTTCTCGACCTGCAAACTAATACGCAATGTCGCGAGTTGCGACAGTCGTTCATGGTCGCCCCTCATCACCGTCAGACTATATCCCGCCCTTCAACGGGCACCTTCCAGTTGACCCGAGAGGTCAAAAAAAAATATCGCAACTCAAGCTCTGCATATTGCAGAACCAGAAACCGCACGTAGTAAACCAGAGATTTTAAGTGTCCTCGGAGGGAGTCGAACCCTCGACCTTCGGATATCTGATTCTAAGAACCAGTCATAGTGCCATATGAGACCGACGCTTTAACCAACTAAGCCACAAAGACAGTGGCTAATTGTGTTTGCGGTCCTTTTTTTTTTTTTTTTTTTTGCCCCGCTAGTACTGGGCTACTACTACTAGTGCCGCTGCGGGCTGTGAACCTTGTATAGGGTTCTTGGGATGGTGTTAAGTGCATTAGTACGTAGTAAGGTTTTGAAGCGGAAGGTATTTTTCTGTATGTGTGTGTTGATAGAGTAGGGAATATCGGAGCTGATGTTTCCTACTCGGTGGTGGTGTGAAAGATATCTGTTGAAGAGGCGTTCCGGTTGGTTGGCTCATTCTATTGATCTGGTTGGCTAAGAGCTGCCAAGACATTAGTACCCAGTACGGCACAGGTACTAACGGGTCATGGCGTGTCACTCGGCGGTGTTTTGCACGTGGTGGTCAAACATTCCAAACTGACTACTACGCTCGTGATCTCCCTATCAGCCCCGGCGGTGTCGGTGGGCTGGTAGGTCGCTTGATTGATGGAACACATGGGTCACTGCCTTGCCTTTGAGTCTGTAGGTACAGTCGCAGTCGTACCGTCACCGTGCCTGGCTGGCTGGCTTGGGAAGGGCCGTGGTACACTACTTACCGTTCAAACCTACCAGGATTAAGCTTGAAGAGTTATGCTGATTTAAAGGTAGAATCCGAGGAAAGGGTAGAGCTCAAGCTCAAAGTTGCGATCAGAAGTAAAAGATAGACTAGAACAGAGTGGGCCCTAGGTGAAGGAGGGGGTGGTGGGGGTTTATGACTTGGATATCAACAACAGCTCATCCCAAATTCTGCCTGTCGGGGTGCAACCGAGAGGATAGGCTGGTGGAGTTCAGGCTATGGCGATAGGCACCATCTTGGAGTACTTATTCTAGTAGGTAGAGTATTATCTAGTTGGTATCTCATGTAGGTACAGATATATCGTGGCCCGATGACGGGTTTCGATGACGGGATTCGAACTTGATTTTCGACCGCAGCAGCTAGAGTTAGAAAAGAGAGGATCAATCAGTCAATCAGTCAGTCGGTCACTTTACGTAACACAGCACCTCCCTCCTCACTATTCCCCAGCGAGACTCGAGAGACAGTAAACTGCTGATTACTTATTCCCCCTGCCTACTAGTATTGACGTGACTCAAGAATTAAACCCAAACCCAAACCCAAACCCCCATCATGAGAACACTCCCCAACTCAACTCCCCACTAATCCAGCCCCAGCCACAAACCCCCGCCCTAGGCCTTCTACCCCTTCCGCCCCTACAACCTGCCAATCCCAACGTCATACCCTGTCAATCAGCCTCACGGACAAACCACCCACTAACCCCTACCCTACATGTTTACCCTGTCCACCTTACACCGACTATTGGATGGTGACACAGGCACCACCCATCCCTTGCGTGTAACCGTCTGTCAAGGCAGACAACGACAGACACGGCAGAAACGATAGAGAGAGAGGGAAACTCTAAATTTATTTTCCTCTGTGATCCCGCGGGTGAGACTGGGATCGTCGTACAATCACAGTGAATCAGCCTTGGTTGGTGGTGGTGGAGGAAAGTAAGTAGTTGGGCAGGCAGGGCACATCATTATTAGTATTGTTACTCTACTTACCTTAGTATACCCTACTAACTGAGCCACCGGCGATTGGCGATTGGTGATGATCGGGGGTGAGTGGTGAGTGGTATGATGACAATTATACGAGAAACACACGTGAATGACCACCTATTGCAATGCAGTGTCCATCGTATCTGGGGACGTAACTTGTTTTCTATCTTGCGTGAGAGGAAGGCAGAGATAAATACCGGCCTGGACCGCTGGTTTCTTTTATATTTCGATCAATCACAATAACCATCCTCTCACAAGAACACGAGAAATTCGAGTCATCATCCTATAACTATCGCATTAAGAAAATCCAAACTCAAGTCATAAGTAAATCCTCCTCTTATACCAACACCAAACCACACCAGCGAGCGGCACTACGAGCTGATATCCAGTCTAAAGACCAATAAATCCGTACTTTGTGCTATACCTACATCGTGTACCCACCCATAAACACAAACACCCAAAACCACAATGTGTTTCGGCAGAAAGCCTAAACCCTCGGACCACACGAGTTCTCTCGGTCCCCGGAAGCCAAAAGCCAGCAATGGCTATAGCGGGGGCTACAGTGGTACAAATACCCGTGGTGGCGGTCACCGCGGCAGGCACAATGGGGGAGGGGGACATGGCGGCGGTCATCATGACGGGGGAGGGGGACATGGCGGCGGTCATCATGACGGGGGAGGCGGCGGTCATCATGACGGGGGAGGCGGCGGTGGATGCGGTGGCGGCGGAGGAGGAAGTGGTGGGTGTGGCGGGGGTGGCGGGGGTGGTTGAGGTGGGGGTGGGGGCGGGTGTTAAGAACCCCTTCTAGAATCATCAATTGGGAGAGTTGGTACTTTGTGGGCGGGTGTTAGGAACCCCCTTCAGGAATCATCGATTGGGAGAGTTGGTACTTTATGGGTGGGTGTTAAGAACCCCCCTTCTGGAATCATCAATTGGGAGAGTTGGGACTTTGTGGGCGTTTCTTTTGTTGTCGGGATGTTATGCGGGATTCTGTTGTTTCTTTCCTTTCCTCTTTGTCTTGGTTTGGTAGACGTTGTTTGTAGTAAGCAGGAGGTTTCGTTTGTGTTAACAGGTAGACCAATGCCACAATACCGAAATACAGTTATTACGGTCAAGTGAATACTTTTTCTCATCGGTGAAATTGCTCCCCCACACAACGAACCGTGACTGCATGTTCCCCTGCACATTCAACACTTGCCAAAACACTTTTATTTTCTTATCTAGTTATTTCTCATGGTATACAGCATTTTTTAAAAAGGGCACCACAGCACACTCTACGCAGAGTTGATGATATCCACAACTGCACACACACACACACACCCCGTTAGCCAACAAACCCCACACAAAGCGCATTCCGGGGAAAACTCACAGGCCGGCTTCAAGCTGGCTCCACCAACCAAGAACCCATCGACATCCGGCTGCTGCGCCAGCTCCTTGGCGTTCTTGTCGGTGACGCTCCCGCCATACAAGATCCTCGTCTCCTCCGCCGCCTTCTCCGACACGTTCTCCTTGAGCCAAGCCCGGATGGCCGCGTGGACCTCCTGGGCCTGCGCAGTCGTCGCAACCTTCCCGGTGCCAATGGCCCACACGGGCTCGTATGCGATCACAATCTTGCTCCAGTCGCTGACCTCCTCCGCGACGGCCGCAAGCTGCGAGGTCACGACATCGATGGTGACGCCGGCCTCACGTTGCTATCACCCGCCCGGCCCCGCCATATCAGCAAATGCCCGACCCGGCCCGGCCCGGCCCTGAGTATAAGAAGAAGACGCGGAACAAACCTCCAAGCTCTCGCCAATGCACAGAATGACGCTCAGGCCCTGCGCGAGTGCGGCCTTGGTCTTTGAGGCGATAAACTTGTCGCTCTCGCCCAGGAGCGCGCGGCGCTCAGAGTGGCCGATGAGGACCCAGTTTATGCCGGCATCCTTGAGCTGCTCGGCGCTGATCTCGCCGGTGTAGGCGCCGTTGCCCTTGTCGTAGACGTTCTGGGCGGCGATGGCAATATCTTTGCGGGTGATCTCCCTGGCGAGGAGGAGGTAGAGGGCGGGCGGGGCGATCACGACCTCTGTGGAATGCACCCGGGGAGGTTAGTATTGGTATGGGTTTGAGGGCGGAGGGGGAGACGGACCAACGTTAGGGTTGAGAGTGGCATTGTTGAGGTGCTCAATAATGGATTTGATTGAGGCGACTGTGCCGTTGCTCTTGAAGTTTCCACCTACGAAGAATTTGCGTGCCTATTTGTTTTTGCATATTAGAATTCCGGGTTTTGATCATATATTAAATAGCATAGCAGGGCACCAACACACCATGTTGATATGTTATATGAGGAATGTGCTGGAGTTTTCGCGGTCGTGGTGCTTGCAGGACGGTTGAAACAATTGAAATATCGTGCCGTCTTTAAAAGTTTGGTGGCCACCGCGGGGGTGGTGGAGGAGGAAGGACCACCGATAAATACTCACACCACTAGATCGCATCATTATTACCCACGAAAACAATTCGTATTAATCGGCAGGTGGAGATCACCACCGAATTTTTCTGAGAGGAGGAGCTCTTTCCGGCAGCAAGGACGACTGTAAAAAGAAAATATCTCTCAATAAGGTGTTGATCGGGTACTTGATCCGGGAACTATCGCCAAGATCGGGTTCAATACCGACTGCAAGGAAAGCGATGTATCCGAATATAAACCGAATTCGAGCCGAGTTGCAGTTTATGTGTAACTGATGAGAGGATGTTCGACTTGTTTGCGGTGAATTGTAAATTTCCAGGTTGCGGGTTATTCGGACAATCTCGGAGTGGCTTCATGGGCGGTCACTCGCACCAGGATGCTACTCCAGAACGACAGTCCGCATCATGCCATCCGGGTACATGGAATAGCCATTATACCATATCCGAAGCTGATGTTCCTTGGAACCCCACGCCTAGGAATTGGTTTGTTTCGGTGCCGGTCCTAATTTGGCAACTTAATCCAAAGGCTACTAATTAATTGCTGGTATTGATGGAACTTCTTTGGGTGATTAACGCTAAGAAATCTGTTTATGCACTGGATCATTAGGCGATACTCGCCTCGTCTTTAATTTCTCTAATAACTTGTAAAAACCCGATGGATACTTATAGATCCCATATCTGTATATAATTTCTTTGCGTGCGATATTGCGGGAGGCGTGACTTGCCTGACTTTATCCATTCAGCAATGACTCCAGGCTCATCCGGAGCTTGTCCCCAATGAGACAATCTGTTCGATAGCAAAGATTGGAATAATAAGGAATCATATAATTAAGTTGGCAAATCCTGTGATTCCAAGATCTTTTGAAGTAAATAACGCGATGGGCAGCATGGGAATGAAAAAGGTCGTTTTATAAGAAATGAAACAGCCAAGATAACAGATACCAAACAACAGAACAACATGCGCGCCATAATACCACGTATCAAAAAAAGTACATCTTCAAGGAAATTACAGGTTACTGTGGTCAGATCTATCCACTGTAAGACAAAACTATCACCACTGCAACACCTTATCATTTGACACCCCATTTCTCCCCCACGGTTTCTAAAGATCTCAGTGATATCTTGAAGCTTTGAAAAGCTTGAGCTTTCCGGTACGCGGTGATATCGGGCCAGCCAACTCAAATCTCAAGCACCGAGACAGGATAATCATTGACCCCAATCGCCAGCCAGTTCGTTGACATGAATCAATGTCGTCATATCTACTTTTCTCCAGGTCGCTATCTATCCACTATCAAGCCAAAAGAAACACTGGAGAACGGTTTCGCACAACGAGGGCTCTGTCTACTGGCAACCCCCCCCACCCCCCCCCCCAAACTATAGTAGCTCTATCGATCGGCCACAAACACGTGGAACGGGGCGCCCCGGCCACTAACCTACAGAGAAGGCTACTATTCGAAGCCGAAAATTGAACTTACATGATCTCTTTACAGGCTCTAGGCTCTAAGGATGTACGTCTTCTACAAATCTCAATCTTGGTCTGTGGGGGTTTAACAGCGGAATATCCTACGTACCTTTCCATGGCCAGCCAAACAGGAAGAAAAGAAAGAGCTAGGGCAGTACATCCTTATTCTAACCCATCCCGCTCCATCTTGACCGCACTCGACCATTAATTGAATGGTCGGAATATTTACTAAGGGTAATATAGTTACAACGACATCCGACCATTTAATGAACGTGCGAGCAATCCGCCTGCGGACCTAATCGAATATACCGAGTGATCTCTCATGACGCACATCACTCGTACCTCTTCTCCCTATTCCAGCAGGCAACTACCATGTACAGTCAGATACGACACTACAACACGTCTAGGCTGAATACCAATGCTTCTACTTCTAGTTTGGAGATGTAAATAACAAATGTTATTGGTCTTTTTATATTTGCGTCCGCCCTGTTGGCGAACGGGTGCCACCTTTCCGTAATATACATTGTGTTCACCAAATGTGCTAGGATTTAGTTAAGCGTGGGTCATGAACTATCACTCCGTTTCATATAGCTCGAGAGCCATTTCACAGCTCCGAAAACATCACTAGAACCCAAGTAGAATAGCAACCCAGATTTCATTAAAATACCACACACCCACACCTCTCCTCTCCTCTTCTCTCCTCACATATCCTCACTCACTCATGAACATACATAGCATCTCAACCATGAACTTTTAATGCCGCGCCACGCCCGGGCCTACAATATATTTTCCACATACTCTCACACACAACACACGCACATATTCAAACACTTCCATTCAACCCCAAGCACACGCACGCACACGCACACGCTACAAATGCACAACCACAAGTCCCTCTTCCTGCCATAGCAAGAAAAAATCCATATCACAAGTAAAGTAAAAAGATTTAAAAAAAGAACATATAAAAAAGCCACTACTACTTTAATAAAAAAAACGCAAGCTCCCCTATCCTATTGCCACGCTACTTCCACCCTGCCAAGCCCGCCCACGGATCTCCCTGCTGTCCCTGTTGCTGCTGCGACTGTCCATACTGCTGATACGCCTGTCCCTGCTGCTGCTGGCCGGGCGTGCCTGGCTGCTGCTGCGGCTGGTACACTGTTTGCGGTAGGGCCGTGAAGCTCTGTCTCTGGGCCTGTCCGGGAGGTGGCCCAGGTGGTGGTGGTGGCGGCACATATGTCTGCGGGTTATACGGGTAGTTCTGAGCTGTACCTCCGCCGGTATACATACTGGGAGGATTCGAGAAGTGTCCAGGATGATACTGCTGTGGCTGTGCGCCAGATGGCGGTGGAGATGTGGGCAGCTGAGAGTCCCGGCGGGCCATTGGTTGTGCCTGCTGGTAGCTATCGCGTCTGGGCAGCCCCGGGAGCTGGCCGTATGACTCGCGGCGCGGATAACCGTTGGGCGGTGGGGGGTACTGGTACCCTGTGTATCCAGTTGGCGGGGGCGGCGGGGGAGGTGGCGGCGTAGGTGTCGGGTATCCGCTGTACTGGTGTGGTGCATAGCGGGGAGTGCCAGGTGGACTTCCTAGAGCGCCGGCGGAGGTAGGGTGTGGAGTGTGTGGGGAGACGTTATTTGATAATGGGGCGGGACGCTTCGGCGGGAGTTTTGCCGACCCAGGAGGCTCGGATTGGCTACCGACGGTCATCCGCTCCATCATTCCTTGGAGTTTGCGCTGGTCGATGTCTGAGCCCTTTTGCTGCTCGATTTGGCTGAGGAGTTGAGCGCCCTCAACACGTCGATTGGAGACGAAGGTCTCAACGTTCTTGTCGAGGCTCTCAGCGGTCTCCATCATTTCTGTGTAGAATTGTCGGGCTTTATCGAGGCCAGCCCAGACGTCAAGGAAGGCCTGGTAGGTCTTTTTGAATTTTGAGAGAACAGCATTTCTCTGGCGTGACAAGGCCTCGTATTTCGACTGCTCGGCCCTGATACGCTTGTCTTGTAAAAGGTCACCGTAGGCGGCAGTAAGATCCTTCATTAATGCCGACTGCTTATGAGCAGCCTGCAGCAGGCGGTTCTGATGCGGCCTAAACTTTTCCAGCTCTGTCGCAAACAGCTGAGGTTCTATATTCTGTATAGCTTTCTTATTAAGGATCAGAACGTTTGATATATCATCGTTATGAATCTGCCTCACACACGCCATTAGCTCTTAATCGCCGCCACCACCAACATAACTCTCACCTTATCCTTCAGATCCTTCAAGACCTGTGCCCGCTCCCTCTTGATCATGTTCATCCTCTTAAGCAGTTCCTCCACCCTCTCGATTTGCTCCATGACCGACGTCCCGCTTTCACCATCATCTACATCCAGCAGGGTCTCCCCACCCCTATTATCATAACCATTACTCTGCTGGCCCCTAGCCTTTGCGATCCACAGATCGTCTACCGTGCCCTCTTCGGCCCTCTCTCCAGCAATCCTCATTTCCTCGATATCGTCCCTGACTGTGCGGTACTGCGAAAACAACTGATTATCGCTCCCGATGGCCGCCTCAATCGCCTCTCTATAGCTTCTGATATCGCCTCTTAACGTTTGTGTTAATCGGCTTGAAGGCTGCTGCGTCCAGTCGTCAAAATACTTCGCCCTCATCCTCTCACAGACACTCTCCTCCTGGTCCAAGCTCTTCCATGACCTATCCAGCACTTCAACAATGCGTTTCTTGTCACGTTTAAGCCCCGCAAACCGGGCCTCGAGGCTCTCGGGCTTATTCGCGATGTCGTCGCACCACGTGCGGAAGTCATCGTCAACTTCAATTCCATTCTCATACCCGCCCTTGAGCAGCTTAAGAGATCCAGGCAACTTCAGGTAGTCGAGAGCTGCGACCATCTCCGCGTTTGCCAAGTCGCACTTCTCGGTCTCGGCACGGACTAGCTTAGCCTTTTCCTCGTCGTAGAGCGAGGCACTCTCGGTAACACTCATAGGCACGATCTTCTGGAAGATATCGGGGCCGATGATACGGTTGATGTCCGCGCCGGCGTAGAGCTCCTGGACGGGGATGGCCTTTGCCGCGGGCATCTTGGGGATTACTGGGATTGAAGTCTCTGCTGGAACCGTCTGGTGGTAGATGTAGTCGTTGTCCTTGACAAGCTCCATGAGCTTCTCTTGCAGCTGCGAAAGATGTCTCTTCGTCATTTGTACCAGCGCGGGGCCGGTCTCGGCGGACAAGTTAGATGTCGCCGACGGTGAGTTTGGGAACGACTGAGAAAACCGTTGCGCATCCTTTGCTAGGTCCTCCGCAAGGTGCAGACGCGCAATTGCAAGTCCGTAGTTTCCATTATCCGTATCCGCGAGGGCCTGTAGATGCTGCGAGAGCGACTCCATGTAGCATTGTTTTGCCTATCCACCCTA